TGTGGCGACCCAGTTGGCTGTGCATTTATTGAATTTAAAAAGTAAAATTCAATTTCAAATATTTTTAAGTTTTTGTTTTGATTGATGAGAACGTTTCGATTTTTCTCTCTGTAAAAAGTTGAATAAAAGTTTATTAACATTGAAAATTTTTAGAGTTTTATTAATTAGCAAGGTGAACAGATCATTGCTAAATTGGTGACCCCGACGTGATCTCGAAAAAGTTTAAATTTAGAAATATTAACTTCTGAGCTAAATATCTAATTATCGAGCTGTGATGTCAGTTGCAGACGAAGGTGTAGTAATGGCTTCTGATAGTGGAAGTGTCGTAAACCGTGTAGCAGTGAAGGTGCCACCGTTTTGGCACGAGCGACCGGAGATTTGGTTTGCTCAGATCGAGGCGCAATTTGCAGTAGCTGCCATTACGAGTGACATCACACAGTTCAACACGGTAGTAGCAGCGATTGAGTCAAGTGTTATCGCCGATGTAAGTGATGCAGTGCTTCATCCTCCTGAAACTGGAAGATACGCTAATTTAAAGGCTTGCATCATAGAGCGGTACAGTGAGAGCGAGCAGCGGAAGATTCAACGGTTGTTGTCAGAAGTTGAACTTGGTGATAGACGCCCAACACAGTTGCTAACGGAGTTGACAGCGTTAGCTAAAGACAAGGTGAGCGATGAGTTCCTTAAGTCTCTTTGGCTGAAGCGTTTGCCACCACAAGTGCGCGCTATTCTGCAGGCATCGAACGTGGCACTAGCAGAACTGGCGAAATTAGCAGACCGTATTTGCGAGGCGGGGGATTTTCAACAGATAGCTGTAGCGTCAGCCTCTGATTGTCCAGCCTATTCTGAGAATGCTGTGATTTTACGAAGGCTTGAGCAAATCGAACAGCGTCTGAGTCGTTTGGATTTACGTCGTAGTGAGTCGGTGCAAAGTCGATCGTCATCGAGGAGACGTAGGCGAACTCGTTCCCGACCAGGAAGTCATCCAGATTGGTGCTGGTATCACGAAAGGTTTGGTGATAGAGCTAATGCTTGTCGGCAGCCCTGTAGTTTTGTGGCAAGCTCTCATCAGTCAAAAAACTAGGCACTCCTTCTACGTCGTCGAGCCGAGAAGGGGTTAGTGTTCGTATAGCTCGACTTAGTATTAAAGATCCCGCCACGTCGACCGTTTTTCTCATTGATACTGGTGCGGACATATCAGTTTTACCGAAGTCGTTCTGTCGTTGGAAGCAAAGGGCTAACAGTGTTGCATCAGTTAATTTATATGCCGCTAATGGTACGCCTATTCAAACATTTGGCGAGCGTCGACTGCTTTTGTCTTTGGGTTTGCGTAGACATTTCCCGTGGACGTTCGTGATTGCGGATGTTAGCTGTCCTATTGTTGGAGCCGACTTCCTTAATCACTATGACTTGTTAGTGGATTTGAAAAGGAAGCGGTTAGTTGATTCGAAGACGACTTTGATGATGAAGGGTAAGGCTGCTGTGTCTCAAGAAGATACTGTGCGTGTGTGTGGTTCAGTTTCAGCTTATGCTGAGCTGGTTAATGAATACCGTGATTTAGGCGTTATGAGTGCAAATCGGATGGGTTTAGTTACTAAGGTTGAACATTGCATCGAGACATTTGGTGCGCCGTCATTTGCTCGTCCCCGACGTTTAGTTGGAGCCAAACTTGAAGAAGCCAAGAAGGAATTCCAATTTTTAGTCCAGACAGGGATTTGTCAACCTTCGAAAAGCTGTTGGGCAAGTCCACTTCACATGGTTCGCAAAGGCGATGGAAGTTGGAGACCGTGTGGCGATTATCGCATGCTCAACGCGCAAACTAAACCTGATCGGTATCCGATTCCGTTCATTCATGATGTGACGAGTATTCTTCATGGTAAAACTATGTTTTCGAAGATAGATTTGCAGAAAGCGTATCATCAGATACCGCTTGCACTAGCAGACATTCCGAAGACAGCTATTACAACTCCGTTTGGCCTGTTCGAGTTTCGCTTTATGACTTTCGGTCTCCGTAATGCTGCCCAGACGTTTCAGCGTTTTATGAATGAGACTCTAGGTGATCTTAATTTCGTTTTTGCGTACATCGACGATATTTTAATTGCGTCAAAAGATGAAGCAGAACATAGAATGCATTTGCGACTGGTTTTAGATCGACTTAGAGAAACTGGTTTGACCGTGAATTTTGCCAAGTGTAAGTTCGGCTGTTCCGAGATCGAGTTCCTTGGGCACGTTATTAGTGCAAAGGGTTTACGTCCTCCGGAGAGTAAAGTTCAAGCTGTTCGTGATTTTCCTCTGCCAGCAACGGTGAAACAGCTTAGACAATTCTTAGGCATGGTGAACTTTTATCGGCCGTTTCTGCGTAACGCTGTGCAGAATCAGCAGCGGTTGTTTCATCTTACACCAGGTAACCGCAAGAATGATAAGTCGGTGATTTCTTGGACTCCAGAAGATATAGAGGTTTTTGAGGCTTGCAAGAAGGATCTTGCCCAAGCTACGTTGCTTAACTTCATGGCTCTGGATGCACAATTGACGCTCACGACTGATGCTTCAGACGTTGCGGTGGGTGCTGTTCTCCAACAAGTAGTGAAAGGTGTGACTCAGCCATTGGCATTTTATTCAAAAGGTTTGAGTCCAGCGCAGACTAAGTATAGTGCTTATGATCGTGAGTTGACTGCTATCTATCAAGCTGTCCAGCATTTTAAGTATGCATTAGAGGGACGTGATTTCGTCATTTTTACGGATCACAAACCATTAACGTTTGCGTTCAGGCAAATAAGTGAGAAGGCATCTCCTCGTCGTGCAAGACAGCTGGAGTTTATTAGTCAGTATTGCACTGATATTCGTCATCTGGCTGGTGCAGATAATACGGTGGCTGACTCTTTGTCTCGGGTTGCTACGGTTCAGTTGGAGGCAAATGTTATTGAGTTAATTGCTGAGGCGCAGAAGACTGATGCAGAGTTGCTCGCTCAGCTGAAGAGCCAGTCTGAAGATGGTGTTGGGTTGAAGAAGTTGAGATTGCCGGATTCGAGTATTGAACTGTACTGTGATGTGTCAGGCAGTCGTGTTCGTCCTTTTGTTCCCGCAAACTGTCGGCAGCTGGTACTCTCAAAACTCCACGGTTTGGCTCATCCTGGTATTCGAGCAACGCGGAAATTGGTGCAGGCTAGGTATGTTTGGCTTGGTTTGGTTAAGGATGTAGCTGTGTTTGTGCGTAGTTGCATTGCGTGTCAGAAGTCCAAGATTCAGCGGCATACTAAAACACCAATTGGTTCGTTTGCTGATATTGATAGTCGGTTCCAGCATGTTCATGTTGACATTGTGGGTCCATTGCCTTTGTCTCAGGGGAAGCGTTATTGTTTGACTTGCGTCGATCGTTTTTCTCGGTGGCCTGTTGCTGTGCCTCTTTCGGGCATTACGGCAGAAGAAGTTGCAGCGGCTTTTATCGACGGTTGGGTGGCAAGTTTTGGTTCTCCGCAGGCTATTACCACTGATTTGGGTCGGCAGTTTGAGTCTGCTGTATTTCGGGAACTGACGAGATTGCTTGGAGTGAAACACTTTCATACCACGGCTTATCATCCTCAAGCAAATGGCATGGTTGAACGTTTCCATAGAACATTGAAGGCAGCCATTCGATGTCATTCCTCAAGTAATTGGACGCAGTCTCTTCCGCTTGTGTTGTTGGGATTGCGAACGACACCGAAATTAGACCTAAATGCTAGTCCTTCAGAGATGTTGTTTGGAAATCCTCTTTGTGTTCCAGGGCAGATGCTTTCGGATTTCAAGCAGAAGTCGTCCGAGACTGATTTTGTGTCGGCGTTGCGAAGGGCTTTAGCTAAGGTTAAATCCGTTGAATCAACAAGACATTGTCATCCATCTGTGTATGTTCCGCGTGACGTTATTAATTGTAAGCACGTTTTTCTTCGAGTGGATCGTGCTCGAGCTCCACTTGAGCAGCCTTACGAAGGTCCATTTGAGGTGCTGAGTCGTAGTGAGAAGACGTCTGTTATTGTTTGCCGTGGGAGAGAGGTGACTGTTTCGAATGATAGGTTGAAGGCGGCGTACTTAACGTGTGATGATCTTGAACAGGTTGTTCCAGAAACGCGTCAGCCTTCAGCGTTGTTGAATGGTGATCAGTTAGTGACTTCTGGTGATTGTAGGCGTGAATCCCTGTTGCCGATTCCGAAAGTGACACGAGCTGGTAGAGTAGTGCGTTTCCCAGCAAGGTTAGCGGAATTTCGGGATTAAGAGTGGTGTTGTCGACTTAGTTGTGGTGTCGCGTTGTTGCTAGTACTCCATCGCTAGGAGGGGGTACTGTGGCGACCCAGTTGGCTGTGCATTTATTGAATTTAAAAAGTAAAATTCAATTTCAAATATTTTTAAGTTTTTGTTTTGATTGATGAGAACGTTTCGATTTTTCTCTCTGTAAAAAGTTGAATAAAAGTTTATTAACATTGAAAATTTTTAGAGTTTTATTAATTAGCAAGGTGAACAGATCATTGCTAAAGCTCATTTTGAATGAAGTGTTTATATTCGTTGTAATTCATTTGTTCCCATTTCAAACAGCTGTTTTTTCAACTAAAAAAATGTTGCATGATCGTTAAATATATCTTCAAACCTTACAATATAAAATGAAAACATATTTTTAACTTCTATTAAGTACTTTTTGTGAAGTAGAAGTTATAAAAAGAGGTGCATCGTTTTCAAGGAAATGCAACCACCAAACATTTGTTTACGTTTTTTTTTGTAAATACGTTGAAAATAGCTTTCTCAAACTGTTAAAATGCCATGAAAAGCTTTTATTTAGGGTATATTCAATGTATTCCTTTGTATTTGAAACATGTTTGGAACGCATTCGACCCTCGTTGGGGCGCATTCATACCGAATGTGATCCAAAGGATTTCATTAGCGCTTGAAATTTTGTATGTAAGAATGAGTCATTCGCTTCTCATTTTCGATTTTTGACCAAAATGAGCCATTTGAGGCCAGTGTAAATGTCATATTAGTTAGTACTATATTTAAAAGTTTTCAACTGTAATAATATATTTTCGTGAAGATAATGTTGTTTGCAATATAATCGCTCATTAAAATAACGTTATTATTTTTGTTTTTAATATCAACTTCTTCATAATCGATATCAATCACCTTATTGAATAATTTCAATAAGGTCGAATCAATCATTTTAACAATAATATAATCAAAATAAGTTTTTTGTTGCACTAAAGTAGTAATAAGAGAAACATATATAAATGAAAGTGATTAATGAACGACTCTTCTACACATCTGTCAAACTCTAGTTGTGTAATGTGGAACAAAGAATATTGCACAATTATTCTTTGGTACACAATTACACGTTTTTGTAATTATTCGTGTGTGGTTCTATATTTATTTTTCATATGTTTTACCTATTTTGTAAATAAACAAAATATCAAAACATTTCGAATAATACAAATTTTTGGAAAATGAATGTTGAAGGTAAATTAACAATAAATACATTATGTGCAACAAATTCTAAAATATTGAAGCACAGGTAATTTGGATGTTAATAATGGTGTATTTCCCGATATACGCGACACTGTGGATCAAATCCTGCAAGCTGCACTACGAGAATCGTCGGCATCGTTAACAATTGAAGAAAAACAAAAGTTTTTAAAAGCAATACGTTATAAACTTTTTACGCTAATAGTTCAACATATGCAAAATTTTCAGAGATTGCTTATTATCTCCCGGCGGCGCAATCAACAGCGTTTTAGACGCCGTCAAACAATGATGCGCTCTTTTTATTTTCAAAAAATGTTGGAATGCGATACAACTTTAATAGAATTTATTTCTAAAGCACACATGAGACATTTCAAAGAAATTAAGCAAACTAAAAATACTGATTCTGTTTCCACAAAACCCATTCCTCGGAATGTATTTGACGATCTTTCTTCATTCACTCAACAACAATGGCTGACTACGTTTCGTATGTCAAAAGAAAACTTTGACGGATTATGTGCGCAACTAAAAAATTTGATACCGCCAATACAAAATCGAGCGCAAATAGTGCCGCTCGAGAAGTGTATCGCAATTGGACTGTATGCCTTAGCTAGTGGCGATGAGTACACTCCCATTGCTCGGCTATTTGGTGTAGCCAATATAATTGTTTACAAGATCAGAGCGATTTTTATTGAGGCACTATTAAAGAAACTTGGAAGCAATTTAATAAAAATGCCTAAAAAGTCTGAAGAATTCCAAGAAATACGCACAACATTCAAACAGGCATCAAATATGCCAGCATTGGTGTTGGGTGTTATTGGAGCTTGTGAATTACCAGCAATAAATAAAGCAGAAAATCTGTGTAAGAATCCTATCACATTTGAAGCACTTGTCGATGACAGACTGCTGTGAGTAGCATTACATATTATTATTATATTATTTAAAATTAATGTTGTGTTTATATTTATATAGATTTCGTAAAATACAACTCCAAGGCGATGTTCCCAGTTTGTTTATCGACGCTCCTAATGAGATACTTAATGTAAGTGATCATTCTTACACTCAAAGTATTTATTATAAGCATTTTTTGTTATATTAGATGGAACTTCAGTTGGTTAATGGAAAATATATACCCTGTTTTGCGGTATGTGCTACGCAATATTATCCGTTGCGTCTATGGCTAATGCATCAGTATAAAAATCCGAGTGCACCACATGAATTTGACTTTAATGAAGCCATTGAAAACTTGGTTATATTTAAGAACGAGGCATTTCGTCGTTTGTTTTCGCGCTGGAAAATTTTAACACGCAATTATGGCATTGAACCCAACACTATGACATTAATTACAACGGCTTGCGTTGCATTGCACAATCTGTGTGAGGAAAATGAGGAAGAATTCAACGAGGACTGGAGTGAAGGCGTAAATTTATGTGATGAAATCAGTTCTGGAAATGTGAAAACCTTGCCAAACGCAACTGAAGCTTTAACTATGCGAAACTTTCTTGCACGCACAATTAGCTCAACCGAAATGTAGCTCTAGATTATTATATAATAGTTTGTGGAGAAATGCTGCTTACTTAAATAAGTTACCACTCTTACATGCGCGATAAAATGTAGTTATGAACAAACAAAATTCAATGGCTAAAATGCGCCGAAGTACTGATATTTTTAAGAAAAATGCATTCCAAACTTTATAAGGGGCAGTAGTGTTTGTGGATATTAGCAATTTATCTCCAATTGCATGATGTGCTCCAGTTTACATAAAGCGCCCAGAATATCAAGCAACATAATCGACAAAAACGATTGCAACTTCATTAGTTGCATATAACCAATATTCCAGATTATACACTTTACAATAATTAATAATCTCTATTTACATTTTATTCTAAAATAAAATGTATTTAAATAAAACATAATATTTACATATTAAAACGTAAAAAACAATTTATTTTCAATTTGCATTTTTGGGCTACATACACTTCATACATATTTTAGTATAGACGTTGTGGTGGACCCATGGATGACTTAATGTGCAATGAACGCACGTTTTGCCAGTTCTTCTTCAAAAGTGATACCAAGAAATTGATAGATAAATGAATATTTTGTACCAATTCATCGGGTTTCATGTTGACATGACCAACGGCTACGGACAAACATAAGACTTTCTTCATTTGGAATTTGATAGTTGATTTAACTTCTTCAATTTTGGCCATCATAGACTCTTGATGGGATAACAAACCAGGGAACTTGCCGGCTTTGTTCAAACCTGGACCCAATAAACGTGGGATTTGTTTAATCAAAGATTCTGAAGCTAAGAAGGCATCATAAGATTTGGCTAGTTTCTTGACCAATTTCTTGTTCTTGTTAAGTTTCTTTAAAGCTTCGGCGTCCATGCATTCAACATTATTGACTTTAGCTTCATCACAATGCTGTTGATCGCCAAGGATGCACACCTTCATTTTTGGACGGGGGATATGCTTCAACCTAAAATTAATATTAATATAAAATTAGATAAAAATAATAATCACTTGCGAAAGATAACTAGATAATTATTGATGTAATCAGTAAAATTCTTCCACATAAGTATTCAGGTAATACATGCAAAATATATCACATCATTTTATACATAAATCAATAATTAAATCATGAATTAACTATAATCTCTTAAAACTTACACAGCCATCAATAGAGGCAGCGTTTGTTTTTTATAAGAAAAACTTAACTAGGCAGTCTTAATATCACTTGTAATGAGCAATATTGCGACCTACTCAATTTGTTTTTAAGACCCTGAGTGCAGGTCCGTCAGAGGTAAATTTTACAACTGACTTCCTGAGAAATACTCCAAACATTTTACTGCTGGTCATATTATCTCAGGTATTCAACGTACTTGACTGTGCCGGAGAAACGCTTGTCCTTCTGAGGATCGTAATTCTTGAGGCCAATTTGTAATTCAACTGTCTCCAAGAAGCCCCGCTTCTTCTTTTGGGAGAATTCCAAAAGCGAATTTACGCTTTCATAGAGCGTATCACGCGATACTTTTGATCTGAAAATATAAAAGAAAAATTAGTATTTCTTTCTAAAGAAATTTTAAATTGTTTTGTTTTTAAAGAAAATGTACAAAAATCATGCTAAAACTATATATTTTATATTCTATATCGCTTTTTTTTACCACAACTTTTCATTTTAATTTGGCAATCATTTCCAAACCAATATAGATATTGAAAGATCCATACAGCTGGTTTATTGATTGCGCATTCTGTTCTAAATTAGTTTTAAATAAATAAAAATAGCTCCACATTAATAAATATTCAAAGATCTCAAAGATTTTTAAAGATTAAAATTAAAACTTTTAGGACACTTACGCCATTACTGTCTTCTACGACGGTCTTGTCACGAAAGAAGGAACATACGTTTTTTCTAAAGTCAGTTGCGATTTATTTCTTTTTTTTTGTACAATTGTCAAAATTATTATACAAAAATTTGACAACTAGGTGGCGACAGGGAAATACATTTGTTTACAATAGTACACGATAAGGTGTTGCGAAACTTTTTATTACTTCTTAAAACGGTTAAACTGCATAAATTTAAGCAATGTATTAAAGCTGCTTTATATAAATAAGTTTTTGTATTTGGTGAAGAAAAGGTTTGTTTCCATACTTTTCAAGTAAAAATAAATAAAGCTCAAGTTAAAAATTCTTCTCTGAGAAAACAATTTATATACTTTGTAGGATAAGAGTCCAATTGAGATATGAGTAGAGTTGATGCAATGGCTCTTTCTACATCTTCCAGGCGAACTATATATAATGTTGTAGCTGTTCTATTTTTTTATAATTTTGTCAGGCTCATATTTTCAAGCCTCTTATATTATTTTGATATTATTGGGTGTAGTAAAAATTATTTTGCATATTCCACTTTCATATTACATATTTATAATATTATATTTTCTAACTGTAACTGATTTAAGCATGATGCAATTATTATTACTGTTTCAGTTATACCATACTTCCACTTGTCTCATTATGGCTGTTATACTCAATAAAACCGCTAATGAGAATAAGTTACATTATAAACTGATTACAAATAAATCAACTGATTTGAGGCGAAAAATGTCGAATGTGATCCTTAAAAATAAATTTGTTACAAGGGAAATTACCAAAATTTGAAATATGTTTCATATGCTTTAAATGAGCTAATTTATTGATTATGAGCTCATTTATATAAAAGATTTTTGTATGATAAATCACCTTCATTAGTGGCTATAATGAGCAAATCGCCTAAATGAGACTATGTGAATGTGCTATTAGGGTTTCACTAACGACAATGCTGCTTTTTTAAATAATATAAAAATTATAATAAACGGCAATTAAATATTTGATTTTAGAAAAGTAAAAAATTATTTTAAATTATGTAGCCATCAATATATGTAACTATTATTATTGTGTGTAATTAGCATGTTTTTTATTTTAGAACTGGCTTATTTATTTCTTTTGATTTTAGATGAATGCATTGAAAGGACAGAACAAACAAATTATTATTGTACACCTCATTCGTAATTATAATTAGCACCGTTTGTAAGTATTTTTAAAATGATCATGTATGCGTACTTAGGCCGTATGCGAGTTCGAGTAAATTGAGGTAAATTAAATTGAAATTTCTTAGGGATTTTTTGCACTACAGTTATATAAATATTTATTTATTGTATTTATTTATTATTATTGGTTAGTTTTCAAATTTATTTATTTTATTTATTTATTAAATATTTTATAAAAAGGTTTTTTCGAGTAGTAGTGAACTACAACAACAAAAATTTTATTTTTTATATTATTTTTAATTAAATGAATTTTTGGCTGACCATACAGCTGTTTCGAGTATTGGCAAATACTCATCATCAGTGGTCTTGGAAATAGTTTTTGTATTTAATTATTCGTAAATAATTATTTTTGAGACTGCAAGTACCAGGAATCGAGCTCTTTTGGTCCTACCAAAAGTGAAACGCAGAATCAGCGCACCTTAACCAACTGATCTAAAGTCGTACCTGATTTTTTTATGTTCGCTAATTTTTCTGGAATTTTGCTATATTGCTATGAAAGTTTTTTTTTTTTATTAACAAATTTATTTGCTATGTTTATATTAAAACGAAATCATCAACCAGCTGTAGAATAATTGAATTAATTAATTATATTTTTATTTTTTAACTGTTAAATTTCAATACTCTTCTGTTTGTAGAGGCATTATTTGTTGCATGATTTGTTGTTTCTTATGTATAGAACCTAATCTCGGAACGTAATACTGAAATAATAATGTTACTCCACTAGTCGCATGGGTGAGATTTTATTTTATTTTATATCTTATAAAATTTTTACAATGGGTAATTTACCTAATTTTTATTTGATTTACTCTACTCGAAATTCTGGTAAATACCAAGATTCGCTGCCATACCGACATAATCTACTATTTCCCTCAATTTACTATCAATTTACTCGACCTCGCACACGGCCTTAATGATATTTTATGTTCCTATCTGTCAATGCTATAACTAAAACTTTTAAAGAACAAAACATATGTGATGGCAACTCTCTTTTATAAGAAAAGGTAAGAAAAGAAATTGGCCAAAAACAAAAGCTTACCCAAACGACTTTTAGTAATTTTCATTTATATGCAAATGTGTGGCTCGTGATTGTTTTATGTGATTTGAAATTAATAAGTAATTATTTTATGTTATATTAAATTATGTTTTATAAAGATGCATTCATATTTGATTAAAATAAATTTTTAAAAAAGATTTTATTTCTAAATATTTTTATTATAGGCGATAACATTTGCTAAAGATATCATTGCGTCACTTATAAAAATAAACAAGTTTGTTTACTAAAATATGATTGAATTTTGAAAAATAAAAATGATATAATTTCAAAACAGAATTGCAATAAAAAAGTGTCTTTATATTTTGATAATGTTTTCAATATAAATTTAGTTGAAACCGGTTTTTTGTGGAGATTCATTCATGTTGATAATTTCTATTAAAAAAATATAAATATTTTTTTTTTTTGCATTCCAGTATTAACATTCCTTTTTATTATTAAGTATTTTGTATAACAAAGTAATTGTAAATTTACGCCGGTTGCCGCCAAATTATTCATATTGGCACTTTTCTGCTTTACGTAATCTTCTGCAAAGAATAGAAGCAACTACGTCATCAACGACAGCAACAGAAGCAGAGAAAACTGCGAGGTGATTTTCCTGAAAATCATATTCAATTTTGCTGTGGAATGTTGAGTGAGTGGAATGTTGAGTACCCACGAATAGAATAGAAAAAATTCCATTAATAATCAATTAAAAATGAGTGCATAAGTTTAATATAATTTATTAATTATTGTAAATTAAAAAGTGTTGTGTGTAAGGCACACTATAATAAAAAAAATAAAAAAATTAAAAAAAAAATAAATAATTTCCTCTTACAAATATTAGTTTGAGAAAATTACATAATTTAATTTTTTTTGTGTGCAGTGCTTAAAGAAAAAAATAATTGATTTTCCATTAAGTATACGTTTTCCGATAGAACTTCAATTAATAATTTCCTCCACTTTCGTCACATCTCGCCATACCTAAGAGCCATGGCTCGTCCAGTTTACACCGCAAACACACACGTAAGTTACGGAATGTATTTCCTCATTTTATGAACAGAAAGAATTCTTTTCTTTATTTAAATGAATATTTAATATTTCTCTCTATTCTTTTGTATGCGCTAAAAATAAATTTTTAATGGTGTTTCATTAGAAATCACTTTGCATATTTGATTATGACATCACAGACGGGACTGAAGGCACCTGTTAGTGCTAAGAATAATCCAAGAGTTTATCAGAGAAATTTATTAGCTTCAAGCAATTGGAATTTATTGACTTTGGTATTATGAGAAATGGTAGGTGGCCTGCTTTATGGAAATGGGAGCAATTATGCAATTTTATTTTCACAATCAACTGTTAATCAAAAACGATTATTTATTTATTGATTAATTTATTTATTCCCAAATAAACGAATAAAAAATAAATGTTTCAATAATTTTAAATCTTAGAATATTTTACTACTATGTTGGAGGCGATAGACCAACTAAGGACGTTGGCAACATCAGCTTTTCAAGGCCCTTCTTCATTTCCCAAAGTTAGAAAAAGAAAATTTTAAAACCGATTATTTCTTATTCATTATACAGCCGGATAATACAATGAATTTAGAGGGTTAAAGATAAGATCAGATGTGAAGTCCAAAATCAACGGAAAGGCTTAATTTAATGATATTGACACCATGTACCTACTGATGTCATACCTAATAATCCCCTTCCCTCTCACACAACCACTACCCATCCAAATGTTTTTGTCATTTAATTCGTTTGATCTGCTTTTCAAATCCCACGGTTTACGACAGCAACAACAATGATATTTAAACATAATTACTATTTAGTTCAGGAGTGGATGAATATATTGTCAAATTACCTGCCAATCTATCAATCATAAATTGATTTGATCAGTAGGTAGTTAGGTTAACGTGACTACGAACTTCCTAAGCTGACAGTCGACGCACACTTAGCTAAAATAGACTGTTATCTGTAAAATCCCTTCTACATTCAACACTCGTAGAACCATTGTGTTATTATGCATGTATTATCAATTATGTATAATTAAATTAGATTATACAAAATTATATAAATAATATATAATCACATAAAAATATACAATTCAAAATCATTATATGAAATGATTTCTTTCCGTTATAAGCGGTATCGTTGTTTTAATTGACGTTTTTATGAAGCGCAACTATGAAGCCGTCCATAATCTCTAACACCACTATTGTACTCCTGAATTAAATATTAGTTATGTTTAAATATCATTGTTATTGTTGTAGTAAACCGTGGAATTTGAAAAACAGATAAAAGGAATTAAATGACAGAAACATGTGGATGCGTCTTTAAATATTATTAAATTAAGCCTTTCCGTTGATTTTAGACTTCACAACTGATCTTATCTTTAACAGTACTATCTACCATCCACATTCATTATGTTATTCGACTGTATAATGAATATTCTACTCTTAAAATTATTAATTAATAACATCTGTTATTAGCCTCCTTTTTTCGTTCCTATATGTTAATATAGTTTCTATCAGAATCTGAACGTTTTCTCAATTCACTTGTTTTACAGAATATAGTATATGGGTGGAACATAAAACAGAATTATGTTCTATATATATATTTGCTGCTTATTGTTTACCTTACCAGCTATGTTGCATGGTTGACTTTGTATCTTTAAAATGGTTTGGAATTTGACATCAGTTTGGTCGCATTATTACAATATAACACGATATCTACGTTTGCCCTAAGGTGTCTTAGGTAGGCGGCACTCAATCACATATGTGTATAAAAAGAGATTGGATTGTCATTAGGACTTTTTAGAAATATATATATTTTATAATATTGACATGCAAGGCTTGTCATATTGTTCTACAAAGTAATGCCTCATTTTCACTGTCATATTCAATATCAAATATTGTCAGTATAATGAAAACGGGTAGTCATATGATGTCATATTCGCATTCTTGTCATGTAATGTAAACGCACTTGACACACCAGTTAATTATAATTGTCATTTAAAATGACATAGTGAAAACAAGGCATATGTTAAAGTAAAATTTTTTTAGTATTGATGCATATGTTATACATACATATGTGCTTAAAATAAAACACGGCTATAATATATTTATATAATATAATATAATATAATATAATATAATATAATATAATATATCTATAATTTTCTTTTTATTTCTACAAGTATGATGACTGTTCTGTAGCTCCAACTGAGCTTACTATATTTAAAACGTATTAATTGATTTTTTGCAATTTAGTATATTCTTTAAATGTAATCTTCAGCAACATTTTTCTGCATTCGATCTTAAGAAAGAATTTAGCACTTTTCATAATGCATATTCTTTTATGTTATATTATCCTACTTATATACCTTGTAGTTTGAAACGATCACTGATTTTCTGATTTCGCGATCATTCGCGATCATTCAATGTCTGCTCTTTCTTTCACTAAATATATTATGTTTATAGATGATGTGGATACACCCTTGCAATAGTTATTTGCCTATGCTTGCTATTTGAATATATGCTTTATCATTTATCATCTTATCACAACTTATCATCAAATCTGTCATATAATGTATGGATTTAATAAGCAATAGATTGTTCTTTAGTTTTTATTAAGTTTTTCTTAATAATATAAACATATATAAGAATTTTTTGGATTTTTAATAGACTACCGCAATCCGAATGTCTCAGTTCTTTGGTTTGGCCCCAATTTTAATGGGTCCAGATAAGCGGTGTTCTAGTGTATATATTTTTGTATATAGTAAATGTGACCATTGGTTTTTTTTTGTCTCAAAACGGGTCAGTTTTTACATTTTGTGTAGAAATAGGACGTATGGTCACCTTATATATACTCCTTTATATTTATCTTTGTTATGTTTATTTATAAGCATTTATATTTTAGTAAAAATAATATATATAACATATATAATTTTGTTTTGTATTAAATTATAAAATTATTTTAATAAATTAAAAAAAATTCCTTAATAACCAGTTTTACGTGTTGTTTTTGTATTTATTTTTCAAGTGTAATATTACCATATTTATATTGTTTTTTTTTTTTATTTAATCAAGCACCTTATCAAAAGAGAGCAAGCAACAAATCATCACATGCGACCTTTGCTCTCTTACTTGCACATATGAGCTCTCAATAAACTTGTACTCCAAACAGAGTAGCTGCTCTTGGTTATCAGTTGAAAACGACATGAAAGCTTCGGCTTCTTACTTGCTTTGCTTTGCTTATATTTCTAACTACTCATCCACACTTGTTAGCTTTAGATTACAAATCAAAATATTTCGCCCATTGCTGTTCTAATGTAATTCTACTGATTTTTATTTTAACTTTGACTGCCGAGCGGCACGCGTTGTTCATAAATTATTTATAATTATTTAAAGTTGAACAAGTGAAATTTGTTTGAAACTTAATTCAAAAATAAAGAAAATTAAAATTCAATAAAAAAATGTTGGATTTAGATCAAGTGAGTGAATTGTGTTTTTTATTTGCATTTCTTTTCTTTTTTATTTGCATTTTTCTTTTTGGCGACAAGCTGTTTGAATTATTTCTTTGTCGGCGTTTTTATTTTCTTTTGGTGTTGTTTTTGTTATGCTAATAATTGGGTGAATGTGACGTCATTGATGTAATGTCATATTCTGAGTGATTTGTGTGTCACTTTGTTTTGCATTAATTTTAGGGTTAAATCCACATTAAAAAAAAAGTGATTAATTAATTTCGTTACAATAAATATGTGCATTTCGAGGTCATGGCTATCAACGTGGTTTGCGTTTGTGTTTGCGTTATGCAATATGCGTATTAAGTTAATATTTTTATTTTTTAAAAAATATTTTAATAAGTTATCTATCTGTTAACAGACTGACAAATCTGCTGATTAACGTTAGAAAGACAGAAATAACATTTTTCATTTTGTTTATTTTTATGTTGGTTTGGAAAAGAATTTGCAAACTCATGAATTAATTATTGATGTAATATAAATAAGAAAAATTTCTAAGTTAATTAACAATTTCAATGTAATTATGTGTTTTGAAATAGTCCATAATGATCTAATTCAGTTTCGTAGCTTAAAATTCTAAGGTGACCAGAGTGTACATATTTAGGTCAAAGCTTAAATTTGAAAATTAGTTTAGTAATCGTTTTTCAGATAATTTAAAAAAAGTTTCAGTTATAAGATTTCATATTAATTAGGAAGACCGATAAAATTATATACAAAAATAACTCTTGATAAATTAATTCGAATGTGTGCTTAAATACATTAAATACATTAACTTTTATTTCTGTCGTTTGCGAGTTCAAGTAAATTGATGGTAAATTGAGGGAATTGAGGGATATTTACAAGAATTTCGGTAGGGTAGGGTAAATTAGGTATTAGGATTGTGAAAATTTTATAAGATGTTTAATAAATAAATAAATAAATTTGAACTATTTTAACTAAAAATAATAAATAAGTGCAATAAATAAATAAATAAATATTTACATAGTGCAGTATAAAAAATCCCTAGGAAATTTCAATTTACTTTACCTCAATTTACTCGACGTCGCACACGGCACACAGCATTATTTTCAGTATCGAGTATGCTCGAAATAAAAGTTTAAGTTCTATACAGAAATTCCATATTTAAATTCTATAAATCGGCTATGCAATCAAATTTCTATTACATACAATTCTGCTTCCATAACTTCAACTTCTATAACTCGATTTTTTCTATAACTCGAACAAAAATATTGTCACGTGCCTATGGGACTATGGGAAAGTGTTTGGTGTTAGGGAAAGTCCCTTTTTTCAAACCAAATGTTTACTTTTCTTTCTTATGTTGCTTTTTTGTGCAAATGCCAGTCGCTAACTGTGTGATTTAAAATAAGTAAAATAACTTCCAATGCTACTCTTAACCATTATATTATATTGAGCTTGACCTGACCGTGAAATTTCAAATTTCAAGCTTTCCTACAGATGATATTATTGAGCATTATAGATCTATCCCATTATAGTGGGTGCGAATCTAAGCGCAACGGAAAGTGATGATGAGGGTTCGGTGAATGAAATTGTTCTTCAGTCTTCTAAGAATGTAGTAGAATACTCATTAAAAATTCTGAACATTTATTTACAAACAAATGATACTCTAACTGATTATCATTATAAGGCTTGGAATAAATTGGAATCTTTTTTGCTAAAAATAAGAAAAAAAAATTAAAATCCTAAACCCTAATTTCTGAATGTTTCATTTCACTTTAATTTCAGTTTTATATTTGAATTTAAATAAATAAATATCTTAAACTTTAATTTTAATTGTTTTAAAAAATAAAAAAAAATATAAAAAAATTCTCTGCTTTGAAGGAGACTTCAACCTCGAACCTTTTCTTTGCAAAATGGTACTTTGAGTTATGGAAGTTTGACTGTACTTTAAATAGTTTCGACGTAACAACTCAAAAAAATTAGAAACAATATGAATTAAAACGATTATTAATTCAACAAATAAAAAAGTCATTATATTAAGCTGAGGAGTAAAAGAAAATGATTTCCGAAGTTAGGGCTACATGCCAATAAGTTGCATTAAAGGAAACTAGACATTGGCCTATATATAATCCCACCAAGCGTTTGCAAAAACAAATGTAAAGTGAATCTGAAACGTCTGAGAGTAACCTACCTAACCCTGCATCCCTAGACTTTAGAAAGTATTTTGCATACACTTTCACTTTTTAACTAAAAATAAACAAATTTTTATTTGCAGATGAAATTAAAAAAAAAAATTATACGTATTTACATTCGCACATAGAAATCTTGTCAAAGTTAAGCCAGTGTAGACGGCCAGTAACACACATTTACTAATTGAGTTGGGGTAATTCGCATTTACACTGACTAGTTTAAATTAGGTTAAGTGGCGGTCTTGTGCCCGAAACCCACTTGAACTCAAATAATGGTCCACGGATTAGCGTTGTTCATACTAAGATCTCGAGGATTACCGAAAGGATCACAGTGGTTAGCAAACTACACTGGCTAGACTTTGGCAAGAGTTTTATTCCCGTATGCACTTAAGTACTATTTTTATATTTTTGTGTGAAATTTGTATGTTTAGGGGAAATATAAAAGTGTATGAGAACCAAATTCTAGCTAGTGTAAACGCAAGTTAATGCAAATAATAACTGAAACAGCTTAGGGCACTTTGTTAAAGTTAACTTATGCAAAATAAAAGCAATTATAATTGCTTTGAACTTTGAAACCAGTTAAAAATAGCGTATATTCTTGTTTGTTGTTAAGTTAATACAAATATTAAAATCAATTTTAAATTAGATTTTAAAATCCATGTCAAGAATGTTTAAGTGCACAAGTTAAAGCTACTTTTAGCGTTACTTTTTGCTAATAACTGGCATTTAAAGCGTAGAATTATGTCTAGTAAGCTAAAAGTGTTTTCAAACTGAATTCCTTTAATAGTGTTCACACGAGCTTAAACCTGATTTAAAGAGCCAATTTAAAAGGTAAATGAAGCAAATTGTAAAACTTATGTAAACGAGATAATTATGGATCACTATAAGATCATTCAATACTCATTTGTTTTGTTGGTAGCATTTTTAGGTATTTGTAAAACAAAACATTATTTTCTTCTTAATATAAGAATATTATTATTTATGATTAAAAAAAAAGCGTTGAAAAAATTACTAATAATGGTTTTGTTCTTCTAACAATTATAGCTCATTCCTATCGCAGTTGGAGTGGCGGTTGTTTTAACTGGTGCTGTTTTATATTATTTCCTGAATAAAAAATCCACAACTAAAGCACGTCCAGAACCAAACCGAACGGCTCGTTTGCGCACATTAATTGATCCAAATGATAAATATCAATTGCCGCTAATCGAAAAAGAGGTGCTCAGTCATGATACACGTCGCTTCCGCTTCGGTTTACCATCAAACCAACATATACTTGGTTTACCCGTTGGACAGCATATTCATCTGATTGCAACTATTGACAATGAATTAGTTATACGCCCGTACACTCCAGTTTCATGTGACGATGATCAAGGTTTTGTTGATCTAGTTGTGAAGGTGTACTTTAAAGACACACATCCTAAATTCCCGGCTGGTGGAAAAATGTCACAATATTTGGAACAAATGAAAATTGGGGACAAAATATCATTCCGTGGTCCATCGGGTCGGTTACAGTATCTAGGAAATGGTTCATTTTCAATTAAAAAATTGCGAAAAGATCCACCGAAGGTTGTTACAGCGACGCGTGTGAACATGATTGCAGGAGGGTCTGGTATTACGCCAATGTTGCAACTAGTGCGTGATATACTCAAGAATAGTGAAAAAGACAAGACTGAATTGGCATTGCTGTTTGCTAATCAAGTGAGTTTTTACATTTATAATGTTCTTATTTTGAGAATATATATTTTCTTTATTTTTTTTACAATGTTTACAGAGTGAAGAAGATATTTTGTTGCGTAAAGAATTGGATGACTTGGAACAAAAGCATGGTCAACAGTTTAGGGTTTGGTACACCATTGACAAAGCTTCTTCTGAAGGTGAGGCGTTTGCTTTATTTATTTTTCTTTATATTTCTAAATAATAAGATTATTGTTTTAATTAATTACCTAAACTATAATTATGTATAGAAAATATTATATTTTATAATCTTTAGTTAGATTTATTAATTTATTTTTTTTTCTGATGAAGTCAATATAACAATATCTTATAATAATTTATCTTTAATCCTGTGCTGCATAATCTGGAAACAATGTACTATATCAAATTTTATTTTAAATATTTTTTAACAAAACTGTAAAAAGGGTGGTCTTATAATGTAGGCTACGTTAATGATGATATGATGCGTGCACATTTACTTCCTCCAAGTAAAGATACACTTTGCCTACTATGCGGTCCTCCGCCCATGGTGAATTATACTTGTATACCAGGGCTTGAACGTTTAGGTCATCACATTGACATGCGTTTTAGTTATTAGATTATTTACTATAAATGAATTGAATTAACATTTTTTTTTATTGTTATAAGCCACTGTACTAAGTGGAGTAGAGGTACTCTTTCAATCCACAAGAAAAAAATTTTATTCATCAATTAATTAATTACAAATTGTTATTTTTTTTTAGACTGGATTTACAGTACTGGTTTCGTCAATGAGGAAATGATAAGCAAGAATCTGTTTCCTGCTAGCGATTCTACAATTGTGCTGATGTGTGGTCCACCACCAATGATTAATTTTGCTTGCAATCCTGCACTAGACAAGCTTGCTTTTCATCCTGATAATCGATTTGCTTATTAAACTCAAGACATTTTGTGAGATTTTAGCGATTGAACAACTAAAAATGCATTTTAATTTTTTTTATTTGTTTATTTTAGCAACAAAATAAATTCACATTCATTTAAAATTAATTTTGTTGAAAAGTTAAATATAAAAATATTTGTTACTACTGATTATTCTAGAATTTAAATAAATTCAATTCGAAAAATGGTCATGACTTTGGAAATTTTTGTATGACTCAAAATAAATATATACTTTAGTTTTTGGTTTATAAAACTTGAATATTGTGCTCTGACGTCGTTGTAGTAAAATACATTTAATTTATTGTATAAGTTTAGTTCATAGATTAGCATTACAAATGTGCGGCATAAATTTGTCAAACGATCGTTGAACTGTAAAATTACGTGAATTATATAGTCACAGTATTGATATTGAAGTGAGGATATGTTAAGTTTGTCAAATTGTTTGTAAATGCATTGAGGCACGTTTTAAACTGCATATATCTTACATATATTAAGATTTTATATGGCTTACGTATGTTAAGAATTTAGTTAACACGTGATTTACCTGTAGTTGTAGGCTACAGTAGCTAATGCTTCTTATATATCTTCGCTAACATAGCATAAACCGTATAAATTGTAAAATATGTAAATATTTACAAATGAATGTATCCAATACACTGCTTTATAGGATAAAGAAGTGAAATGAAACTAACTATGGCTATTCTGTATCTACAATCGCTGACTACTGCATTCTATACACATGAATTAGTGAATGATTAATTAATTAATATGAAAAAGTCTATTTAGTCTTTAAGGTAGAAATAAAATGTTCGTCAATGAATTACTCAGTATAATCGCATGCGAACCTGCTGTAATCAAGATCAGAAAGGAAGAGATAATGAGTAGGCTTCCTCATCGTAAGAAAGTGGAAAGAAAGGATTCACTATATCAAAAATAGTGAATCACGTACTATTATTTCACTTCATTTAATTATAAAAATATATACATTGTATGTATACGAAACTTCGCGGTTAACCATAGGTAATTACATCAAGATGTGATAGTTTTTTAAGGCGAGAAAAAAGGATTGTTAGCACATTGGTACGTCTATAATAATTTTTGAACAGTTTCACTTAAATAATTACAAGTATAAAGCCGGTTCACTACATCAGATGGCTTTAGACAAATAGATATTACCTTTTCATTAGCGGTATTGAGACGTTGCTGGGTAATCAGTAAAATTGCTCGGTAAAGTTGCAAAGTGAAAATGCCAAAGCAGCTGAAAAAATGGAAACAATAAATATAAAACTAGTTATTTCATTTAATTTTTTATTTCGATCAACATTTCTTTATTCTTTATTTCTTTAGAGAGGTTTTTTCGAACAGTAGTGAACTACAACAACAAAAATTTTTATTTTTTATATTATTTTAATTATTAATTACAGCTGATTTAAATATATACATTTTTATTATAATATTATTTATTATAATAAAAATCATATTATATTAATATTATTTATTATAATAAAAATCAACTGATATTTTACGTAAAACCAAATCATTATTAAATGAGTCGATAATTCGCTGACTTAGTAAAATTGCTTATCCACAAAAATAAAAACAAATAAGATTTTATTATTTTATCAAGTTACTAAATAACCCTATTACCAATTTTTTTCCATTAAATCCATTTTTCCATTAACCAACAGACGATCAATGAGGTCTAGAGCATAAAAATAATAATTAAATCTAAGATAAAATTTAAAACAAGTGATGGATAGAAGGGAGGGTGTGCTCGATAGATGGTTATTACTGTCTAAAATTAAGGGGTTAATATAACTACGAATGTAAAGCGGGAGTACAGGAGCAACGCGAACGATGTCATTACATTTGAAATAAATTAGTCCACTTGTCTTTATTTATTTTAAACCATCAAATGAACTTTTTTATGAAAAAATAACTTACATTTTAGCATAAATGCATAATATGTTAATGTTTGTCATATGAAAATATGGTGGATGTGCTGGCGACAATAGTAACCTGCACATTCATTATGTGGAATTAACCCGAACAGCTCATTTAAAACAGAAGTATAAAAATTGTTATAGTTTATAGTTCATAAGTTTATTAATAATTAAAAGTGTATTAAATGTAACAAATCATATATCAGTTAGATAATAAAAGAGAGACTTCCTCTTTTACTATGATGCTATAAACAAATCATTCGCTTCCTCTTTCCGTCACCTGTGCCATATAGCCAGAAATTAGCACCCATCAGTTGAAACTAATCTGGACATTCGAAAGAAGAGTTTTCCGTCATTGTGTGAACTACGGATACAGACTATTTGGGAAACACTTCTCCAACTTCTTGGTATACAATACTGCCAAGGTTATTTAAACAAAAGAGTATCTGCTCTTAGATGTTAGGATATATTTCGCCCGGGATCGAGATCTTCTCAACATCCTTCAAGTGCACCCAATCACAATAAATTAAGAAGATATATTAAAATTATTGGGAAACCTGCTACTTATACGAACACAATTTGTGTCTATACGTTTTCACACTGCATTTTATCTTAACTCTATGAGTATTCAGTTTTAACCGCTTTGACTCAAAGAAGTACGCAAAAAATGCTGTAGCTGGGTAGCATTTTTATAAATACGAAGGGTCGACATATCTGATGTTCGCAGCAATTGTTGTTTGTGGCGCCTATAGCCGTCTGTGAAGCTGCGCCACCTCATTGTTACAGTTCTAATTGCATTTAAACAAAGAAAGAATGTATTTTCCAAATACTTATATATAAAAGTTCAACGTACCATCACAGTTTAATTTTAGCGCTCAAGCACCGTTTCGTAGCATACTGAGGACACTAAGGTTTCTGTAGTCAGGTGTTCTTTGTCATATAAGAAATTACATTTCCGCACTTCTTCAATTAAATTTTCTATAAATTAGTAGTTTTTTACACTAGTTAGTTTACCTGTAATTGTTTTACATATTGTTAAATATCGTCTACTTACTTTAACAAATTTATTTGTTTACCTCCATTCATTTTGACTTGATTTGGAGTAAATGTCAAATTCGATGATACGTTGGCAGCACTTTAATTTTTAGTAAAAGTGTGGCAATATTTTTAATAACTCGCTAGCTATTTTTGTTTTTGCTTTCAAGTATTAGTATTATGTTTAAATTTTGGTATACGTTTTTTTTTGAATTCTTTCATATTTTGCTTTAATAAAATGCGTAGCCGCAATTATTTTTTAATCTATTAAGGCAGTCTCCCTTTCAAAAAAGAGGAGGCAATTGTTTAAAAACTACTTATCCAGCTAGATACGGTCCACATACATTACGATCTTTATGAGAGTCGAACATAAATAAGAATTTTGTTTACGATTACAGCTTTGTTTAGTTTTTGGCATAGTAAAGAAGAATTTTCTTTTTTCTGTAAAGAAAAAAGTGTTGGGGTAATCCGGCACGCACGTGAACTAGTGTTTATATATTCGAGCGAGCAATGTATATAACTGTAATGTATATATATGTGTATCCATAAAAGTATGTGTATAGTGTGTGTTAAGGGATTTTTTTGAAACTTTTAATTTATTTATTTGAATAACTTATATCATTTTTAGCAGAGTTGCCATTCAATTAATCAGATAAAGCGACAGCCCTAAGTCTTAACAGCTGGAATTGATTGAATGTGTGCAACCCCATAAATGTTGTTATATGTAGTTCACAGTCAATTGTTGTGCTTAAATTTTTGCAGTTTACGAGATACTCATTAGGAAACGGGTCGAACCGTCACCGAAAACGTCTTAAAGACATATATACATACCTGAAGACCGATCGATCCAAATGTATGACGGCCTTCGAAGACAATTTCGAACAAATTAGTCAAATGTCTTTAAAGACTTTTGGTGCATGTCTCGAAAACCATGCATAGCGGACGTATTCGTTTGAAATATGTGCCCTCTTAGCGCAGCTGCTCATATAATTTTTTCATCCATTTTGTTATCTCTTCTCTTGTTTAACGCTCTTTAAATTTTAAACCAAATTTGTATATACATATATATATATAAATTAATGAGTTCTTACGATTTCTTTCCTTTCGGATTACTCCGAAGCGTTTATTTCTAAGATTGATAAAAAACTGAATTGAATAAAATCTTACATTGGTTCTTATAGTCTAACTTAATAATAAAATATGCAGCATCAACAGGAACTGTTGCTCACGTAGTTTCCCACGAGAAATGCGATCGTCTGCGATGCACGTTGCATCTGCAACAGGTAAGGGCAATGATAGTAGCACCTGCATGCTATTTAGCATGAATTGAATTATGTTGTCGACGCTACAACCTTAGCTTAATTAGGTATTTGTAACATTAAGTGTCACCGGCATTAACTTATATATAATTATTATATAATAATTGTTTACATTGTTTAAATTATAAGTTTTAAAGTTACATTAAAAGTAAATGATAAATTTTACTATAAATTATGAATTTATTTATATTTAAAATAAATTAAATTAAACCTAAAAACCAATAAGTGTAATAAAATTAACTTAAATGTCATCGAAGACCACTTTTCCTACTGGGTATATGAATGATGATAAGTCGTAGATTGAACGGCGATGGAGCTGCCAAATTGCGACATGAAGTGAATATTTGTTTTGTATGGCGTTCAACATCTGCATATAAATTTAGTTAATTTTTTTTATAAAAAAAAACATTAGTTGATCAAATATTTTTGATTTTACTGAAAAAACAGTAATTTAAAAATGTCTGCATCTAAGAAAAAATGTTGTGTATTGACGTGCTGTGAAAAATCAGGAAGATTCTTTAGGTTTCCTCGAGTTGGATCCAAAAAATACAATGAATGGCTTTCAAACTGTCAGTTTTCATCAAAACATATTGCAAAACTTAGATGTCCTTTTATTTGTGAAAAACATTTCGAATCTAAATATTTCGGTAAAAACAAATTATTCCCAGAAGCAATACCAACATTATTATTGGAGGAAAATAAGGTAAGCGAACCAAGTTTAAAAAAAGATGAGGTTCAAAGTTAACGGTTGAAAAAGTTGATGAGAAGAGTAGAGATTTTCTTGGACTTTAAAAATCCTAACAATGAACAAAATCGAATCGTTTGAAATGTGGTGTTACAGACGTATTCTGAAGATTCCTTGAGCGGACAAAGTTTTAAATGAAGAACTTCTAACAAGATTAAGAAAAGATAGAGAACTCCTTAAAATTATCAAAATAAGAAAAATGAGGTATTTTGATCATATCATCCGAGGTGCAAAATACGAATTGTTGCAACTGATTGTGGAAGGCAGAATCGAAAGAAAACGCGGCATGGTAAGAAAACAAATGTCTTGGTTGAGGAACGACCGATACTGGACTGGGTTAAGAACGACTATAGACTTAGTATATACTGCTAGAGACAGAGAGAACTTCAAAAACATTATTTCTAACATATGATTGTATAACATTCAATTAACATTTAAAGAAGAAGAAAGTTAACATTTTGTGCCAAATTTGCATTAATTGTCACAATCATGAAAAGAGGCTTTGGTAGTACAGATCGAAATTGCTTAAGAAAAAAAGTTTGTATTTGGGGGATAAAGTAAAATAGCAACAGTTAGAAAATATTTCCAACAGAAAATTCGCATTTGACTAAACGTTGTGTCCAGAACTAGAACTAGAAAGGAAAGTCAGGGTCGTCTTTCAAGAGTCAATATTCATTTTAATCAAGTCTCCAACTGTGCATAGTTAATTTATACTTACGTCAGTTATGTTAATGTATGCACATATTGGCTTAAATGTGTCTAACTTTGCGTAATATTTATCAAATACAATCTTTTTAAAAAAGTATACATAACAGTCTTTGTAATTTTAAAATTAAATTTAGTATTAGTGAGTGCTCCTATCATAAAAAGCCGCTCATCTTATCACAACTTTTAACAATTCCTCTTTTTAGTGCGATACCCATGTATCTACATATACATCAATATATATTAAATAAAGAATATTATAAAATTTGAATTAACTTATCACAACTTCTAATAATTCCTCTTTAAAGTACGATACCCATATACATCTATATATATTAAATAAAGAATATTATAAAATTTGAATTATTAAATAAATAATATATATAATTGTATTTAAAATTTATTTAATATTATTTAGGAATTGTGCACATTCAGTGTTAAAACCGATGATGAAACTTTGGATACTATGCTATCGTCGACATCGTCAGAACAAAAAATAGTCTGTACAAATTCGAGTTCTACACAGACTGACAATGCTGCAGGAAGTCAAATAAATCATAGTACGGAAGTTGATTTATATATGCAATGTGCCGCACAGCAGTTAAAAACATTCCCAGAACTAGATGCTTGGGCTATAATTGTAAATATTCAACAGACGATCAATGAAAAAAGATTAGAAATCATGAACAGACCAAATAAAAGAACGTTAATATCTGCAACGATTTCATCAAGTCGATCACAAACACCAACGTTACCATACGATTCAACTTAACAGTGCATAGTCCGATGCAGGAAATATTTCGCAGAATTCTGAATTTTTGTAGTTAATAAAAAAAATATTAACTTAAAAACTATATAAATAAAAAATATGGTTTCAATCTGATTTAATTAAAAGATTCAGTCATAAATTATGATCCGCTAAAACTAATGACTCTACTAATAATATTATTTATTATAATATGCAGGGAGTGTGCGAGCATATATGGGGAAATCACAGAAGATACCGTATATATTACTTTATAAGTATATATAAGTACAGTAAACGCTGTTTCGGTTTAGCGCTCTTTTATTTCAACCCGAACATTTAAGTAGATGTTTGAAAAAACAGATAAAGAAGAGAAGCAATCAATAAGAGAATTTTGGAAAAACTACAATATCATGAATGCTGTAGAAAGCATAAACCTTTCTTGGAATGAGAAAGATCTTTTAAAAAAGTATGGAAGAAAATTTGATCAGATTTAAGTAAGACTGAAGACATTGGACACTCTGTTGATATGTATGAAATAATGGAAAAAATAATGAAATTAGCAAAACAAACCGGTTTAGATGAGGTAAATGTGAAAGACGTCGAAGAAATAGTTCAAGAAACAGCAGCTAACCATTCTAATGATGAGCTCAAGGAATTAGCTGATCAAAAAGAAAACAAAAATATTGATAGTAGTGATTGCGAAGAAGAGCAAAAAGACATTTCGATGGCGTTTGTAAAAAGGAGTTTGACCACTAGAATTGAAATTATGGACCAAATTATTAAAAGTGATACAAATTTTGATAGGAGTTCAAAATCAAGACGGGCTGTTATAGATGCTTTATCCACTTATCAACAACTTCTAATAGAATGCAAAAAAGAAAACGCAAACTATATTAGATGCTTTCTTGAGAAAAAGGCAGAAAATTGGAAACAGACTGACTGACTTAGAATTTTATTTGCTTTTATATATATTAATTTACATTGTTTTTGTTATTGGTTTTATTATTATTAAAAAAAAACATAATTATTAAATTTAATACCTAAACGATCGTCTATCAATTTTCTCCTACACCCATTACGCGTTAAACGGGATCTTACTGTATTTAATTTTATTTGGAATATTTAAACACAATTTATATATGTAATCGTAATGTTTTATAATTTTATTTTTAATCCAAAAAAAAACAGTGCCACAATCTGTGAAAAGTAAAATGTTAACTCTAAAATAGAAATTTTTATTGTACAGGAAATATGTTTTTAAAACGAAATACAAAAAAGAAATATATTTCGTGTTTTTATCTTTTAACATTTCGCCTTTAAACTTAAAATTTTAAGAAACTTGTATGAATTTTAATTTGTGAGGCAATTTAGTACTATCGATATTTTAATTTTCTCGCGATTATTTACATATTTTGTTATCATTTATTACAATTTCAAGTTAAATGTAAATAGTTTAATACTTATGAAGCTAAATAGCTCATTAAATTAGTAAATATTAATAAAATTTCTAAAACTGCGTTTATTATTTTCTTACAGCAATTTTTTTGGCGATTATGCTTTAAAATTACTTTATATTAGATTTATTTGAGCGATTCCATACAATAATTTAAAATTTCATTTTATATCTCTGTTGTGCAACGAACATCTAAAGAAACAACATCAACATCGACAATACAATTCGTTCAACAACATATACCAAAAATGGTGATTCTGGATTAGTTGCTGCTGTTAGTTTTATAAGTATATTTCATTTCTAACTTCTTAACTATTGTTTTCATAAGATTTACTTTTTGTGAATAGTGTACTATGTATGTACTCTTGCAATGTACAGGCGTTTAAGTGACCGAATTGTTGAAAACTCAAAACTACTTTTTTATGACATAAATACGTCTTCTTTATTGTATAGTCTTCTTTAGTATATATATATATATATATGTATACATGTAGACTTATTTTTATATAGCAATTTTATTTAGGTATATAAATTCGACTGTAAGATAAAGTTAATAAAATAATTTTTTTAGATTGGTTTTTAGTGACATAAATAAATTCAAACTTGTAACATTGGTCGCTTTTCTTTGCCTTCCAAATTGTCATTTGTTGTCGCATAACCGGTGCCACCCTTAAAATAAATTTCATTACAAAAAACACCATTGTGAAGAAAAAAACATGCATTTATACAATAACTTATAATTGCAAAATATTGTATAAAAATAAATAATGATAAAAAAACTTTACCCTTTGTAATGGTATTATGTCCTTATCCTTCAGTTTTTGATTTGTTAATGGATGTATCATGTCTTTCTTTATTAACTTCTCAACGCATTCCATAGTAACGACATCACCACTAAAATGCAATAGCAATAAAATGAATGAATATCTGAATATATCAAAAATTAGGTTATAATAAAAGTAAAACTTACGTCGGTCGTAGAATTGCACATGGAACAGAATTGCTAAGTATATCATGTGTCACTGGACACATGTAACGAGCTTCCTTAGCAATCAGGGAACGACTATTATCACCGTCTTTCAACAACGTAAATTTGATGTCAATTAAATCTTTTACTTTTAGTTGTTTTTGTGAAATTGGGCAATAAATTGTACTATCTGGTTTTGTAGCTTTAGCTAAACCAGCATTTGGGCACTCAGAAGGTATCCAGAAGCTTGGTAATTTTTTTTCATGCCCATTCGCCATATTCGAAATTGAATTGTCGCCAACAGAGTATCCTGATTTTTTCGAGGTTGATGGTTTGTCTGCGAATAATTTATCTGCTATTGGTTTTGAAGCATTTTCAAATTTCTCGACACATTGTTGCTGCTGACGTCCCAGTTCTTGTGCAATTTTGTCATCTTCAGTGCGTTTTAAACGCTCATATTCTTTTAGTTTACGGTTATATTCATTCTTTTTTGTTATAATATATTGCAATATAGCTTCTTTATCAAACAAATAACCATCCTTTGTAACTACAGGATTTCGGCATGGTTGCAGCGTCAAAGAGCAGCAATCGAAAGATTTGACTGAATCTTTTCCCAAACGTTTTTGATTAGTACCATACCCGCCGTCTGCAGCGTCTCGCTTTTTCTCGTTATACGTGTATACCGCTCCAGCAGTACAATTTCTAGCATGCCGTGTCATTTTATTTTGTTGCAAATATTTTATTTAAAATAATTAATGTACACAACAAATCTTTACACTAAAAAACCAAATTATTTGTTTTGACAGATATTGCAAGTAAAGTATTCAGTGTTGGACAACGATTATTGGCTAAGCAGATTGATTAAAAAAATTTTGAAAATCTGTTCAGCATACATATTACACAGAAAATAGTTGAAACTACACTAGTTTTAAAGCGACGCAAGAGTTTAGTTCATATATATTCAGCAGTTGTTTTATTGTATTTTATTATGCTTTTTAAATACTGACCGACTTATTTTTACACAATCAGCTGATCTATGTTTGTGCTATTAAATTATTAAAGTACATCGAGTGATTATTTTGAAATGACTGGTTTTATTTAGAACATTGTTCTCTATTTATACAAAATTACCTTAAAACTAACTTAACTAATTTTACTATCAAGGTTGAAATAATATGTCGTCTGTAAACGCTAATTTTAGTGGACTGTATTATTTTTAATTACATTTTATTATTGTTTGCAAAAAAGGTTAAAAAAAGGACGGAAGTTTCCGCAGTAGAAATTTTTCCTTCTATTGTTTTTACAAATATTTTTTATTGTCATAATTAGACACGGATAATTAGATAATAAAAAATGCTACAATGTTAGCTATTATAGATATTTTTTCCCATATTTTTTCTTAGTTTATAATTCTGGGAATTTACGCGATAACAAACATACAATAATAAACAATAATAATATAATATAATAATACAATAATTTGTGTGTGTGTTTTTGTTTTTAGTTCAGAGAAATTTCTCAGCAATTGCACACAAAATGCCTAAATAAAGCATAAAAAGTCAAATTATAGACTTTAAAGTAAATGCAGTTATTATGGATATTGAATTTATCAAAGGTATGTGTTCTGCAGCTTTTCCATTTATAGACACAACACAGTTTGACCAATGCACGCTCTTATTGGTGAAAAAATATATGAACTGCGAGAACACATAAAAACAATCACATCTTTTCCACGAGGGGATAAGGTGAATGTGCCGAAATCTAATAATTGGCGAGATAATGTACTATGTTGTTTTGACGACATAGGCTCTACCGTTTAGGCGCATCGCATGTCTAAAATTACTCAGAGAGTGTTTTAAGCAATTTTGAAGAAATTACTGGAATATATTCAATGGTTTAATACGACAGAACGTCGGTAATTTATAGCTCAGACAATTAGTGAGTCACCATTCTGTATCGGTTATATTGATCGAAGTGAGATAAGGGTAAAAAACTCGTATTGGTACAAATATCGCGCGCTTGTTCACTAAGGAAAAATAGTTTGTAGGTGAACCTGCGTATCAGTTAAAAAAAATATTTAATAACGCCATATCGTACCAATTCTTTTTTAATGCATATTAAACAACAAAGTAAATTCAATAAGAGACACAGCTAATACCGTGTTAGAAAAGAAAACTGCTTTGAAATTCTTAAGGAAAAGAAATAAGAGTTGATAAGAATAGATAAGAAGAGCCAAAAATTCTTTAATAAAAGGGTTATCGTTTGCTGTGCGTTGTATGATATTTTGTTGGAAGACGAATAATTTCACAATAGTGTGTAAACATACCATATATATATATGCTATACATATATACTAGAATATTATTGTTGCACCTACACTAGAGTAAAAAAACAAGCACTGTATAATTTGATTTTTGAAAAATTAAGATTTTTTAATTGTTTTTAATTAATTTTTAATTTTAATTCTTTCATTTTGTTCTAGCTCTAATTTCTTAAGTTCGAACGCTTCATCAAATGTGCGCCTCTTCATTTCTAATTTTTGTTTCTCAACTTCCTTTGTCCACACGAATTTTGCAATTTCGAAATTTAATTGCTTGTCTCGAAATTTCAACTGCACATTTTCCAATTTAATATACATAAAAACAAAAGTTATCACACAAACAAAAAATAAATCATACAATCAAAATCTCACCTCTATGTTCCTGAGCGCCTGCATATAGCATAATATTCTTTTTATTTCTTCGTCTGTCCGTTTCTTCACTTCATAATCTCTTCTACGTCTTCGGATTTCGTTAGACACTGAAAATGGGATATAAATTAGTTATATGTAAATTTTTATTTTGTATAGACGACTTTTACTTACTTTTGCAAATTTTCAGTATTTGTTTACAAATGGATCAGTGGTTACCGGGTTATGTAATTCTGTGCTTAAGTTAGTAACAATGAAATTCACTGAATAAAAGTAACCAGCTTTGTGCGATGTGTACCTTTGTGTCCAGATTATGTGATTATTTGTAGTGTTAAAAACTAATATAAAAGTAAGGCATATGGCATCACAAAAAAAAATTAATCTTACAAATGGCATGACAAAATGTAAATTTTAAGTTGGCATCACTAACACTTACAGCCGGTTTCGTTTGCAATCATTTAAAATTAGTTAAAGTAAGCAAAAATGATTTATGCGAAATAAAAATATACATATAATTAATTTATATCCCATTTTCAGTGTCCAACAAAATCCGAAAACGTAAAAGAGAAAATGAAGTGAAGAAATGGACAGAGGAAGACATAAAAAAAGTATTAAGCTATATGCAGGCGCACAGGAACATCGAGGTGAGATTTTGATTGTACCGTTTTTTTTTCTATTTGTGTAATAACTTTTGTTTTTATGAATATTAAATGACAGAAACCAACAGCTCAGTTGTATTACAAGAAATTGCTGGCAGAAACAAACATCGATGCAAATTGGAACATCTTAAAATGCAAAGTTCGACATCTAAAGAGTACTTTGCAAAAAGCTAATGCATGGAGCAATTCAACAGGCGCTAAGGAGGAGAATGACGGCAATGCAGCTACACTTAAATGTAAACTCTATAATCATTTTAGTTTAGACCATTTATTACAATAGTTTTAAATATTTTGTTTATGTTCAGGCAAGATGCTTAAAATATGTCCACATTACGAACAGCTTGCAGACATTTTTTCACCCTTAAAGAAATTTGAGGTTGTTGTAACTGACACATCGACCGTTTCCGATCGTTCTTTTGATGTAACCAATTTGGAAGAAGATAGTGTTTTATTGAATGATGAACTATCAACCACATCTGAAGCTATCTCCTTTGCTAGCAAAGTTAACCGTAAAGCACGTACTACTTGCGTTGATAAACTAATAAATATGGAAAAAGAGCGGTTGAAATTTCGGGAAGAGCTATTAAATTTAGAAATTAAAAAATTCGAGTTGGCTAAGGAGATTGAGAATAAAAAAATTGAAATGGAGAGGTACAAATTTGAAAAAGAGTTAGAACTTAAGAGATTAGAGCTAGAACAAAATGAAAGAATTAAAAAATATGAGATTGAAATGAAATATAAAAATAAATAATAAAATAGTTTTGATATAATAATTTAAAAATGCAAACTTTTATTTAAAAGTCAAATATACAGTCCTTGTCTTTTTAGTTCGAGTGTAGGTGTAGCAACAGTATTGTTTTCATACTACTCTTCAGTCCTTTCGATCTTATCACTCTCAAATTGTGTGAAAATTTTGCTAAGCTGCCATTAGTGTAAATTCTTCTTTGTTCCGTTTACTCCCAGTAGAGCATAGAACCTCAACAATTCCTGTGAACCGTATTCTATTTGAAGCAGCCGTGCAGATGTCGTTCCATGAGTAGCGCGCTGATGTTAATTCGGCATCAGTGCATATAAGCCCAATAATTGTATGATTTCTCATTTAAAATGAATGTTATTTAATAAATTCAAAGCAGAAATGGATGAAACTTTTATATAGTTTTTTAAATATATATTTTTTGAAATTTATAACATTGATAAAGACAGCGAATAATATTGAATAGTGACACGGTTATATGTGTTGTAATAACATAACACTGTCCATTATTTCCGGATGTATAAATATAGAATATATAAAGTGAAAAAATACATGCTTTATATCAAAGTTTGTTGAATGTATATTTAAAAACTCAGGGGTTAGAACCTTTGGCAAATTTTATAATACTTTTCAAGTGGAAGTCTTTCAGTTCGCCAAAATCTTCAAAAAAGAAAGTCCTTAAAGTGGTAAAGCGGCACGCGCATGTGCAGAAGAGAAACAGAGCAGATGGCAGAGGCACTTGCATCGCCCTCTCTACAAATGCGGCAGGTAAGATTGAAAGCGAGATTTAATCTTCAAGCATGGTTACCTAAAATGGAGAAGTATATTAAGCATGATGGTATATTATTTTGCAGTGATGGGTATGCAAATTTTACATCGCACGTGTAAAAATTTAAGGGATATTAAAAATAATTTTTTGTCATTTTTTAAAAATCTCAAAAAATTTAACTGATCTATTATATCAATCAGTAAGTGTTAATAAGAGCATAGTATTACCAATAGCGTTGAATAAAACTTGAGCTGTTGGAGACGTCTCAATAAATGATTTACGATGATATAGTATATATTTAAGGAAAATTATATTTTAAGTACATTAATCTCCTGAGCAAGTTGAATAAATATACAAGTATATATGTGTACGTAAGTCACGATTTGAAATACGTCTTACAAGTAATGCTGATTGGTCTACTTCACCTTGGTTAAACTTCACCCTATTAAATTAGTGTTTTACTAAATAAATTAATAACATATAGGATAATTGATTTGGAATTAGCGAATATCACATAAAGGGCTATTTAAATGAAGTTGTCTTTATTTGCTAAACTTATTAATCAGAATAATTATTTTAATCGGAATAATTTTTCAATAGATAAATTACATTAATATATATTCGTATAAAAAGTAGTATAACCCGTGACTGATTAGATGGAAATTAACAGTTCCAAGTTTATAGAAAAAACATTGTTTGGAAAAGCAAACGTTGTCAAGCTCAGGTAATATTTATGGCAACGACTTATACTGTTTGAAGCGATTATTAAACAAAATAAATAAAGTCTTCAAACTGAAGTAACATTTTTATCAATCAAAGAGAAAAATTAACTTAAATAGTGAAAATTAAAAAAAAAGTGCTAATAAAATGTTGAAATCTCCCATAACAAATAAGCAGGATCTGGACGAAGCTGCAAAGATAGCTAGACGTCAGCAGTACGAAGATGAACGGAAAAAACGCATTTTTAATGCAAAAGAGCGTCTATTTGGAGTGAGCTAAAGAATCAATTAGTCAAATACCGCTTATATTATTTGGATGTCATATATTTACAGGTTGATGTGAGAGGACTACGAAGTCAAATAGAGGAAAAGGAAATGCAAAAGCGTATGGAAGAAGAGAGGGAACGTTGTTACAATAAACAAGCAGAACTTCAACAACAAATTGTTTATAATAAAATGAGAGATGAAGAGAAAAGCAAACGTAAAATAGTTGCAGATTTAAACAATTTCCGTTGGCACATGCAACGACCAGAACAGAGTCGAGATTATGACATTAATGACCCAAATTCCATTAAAAAGTCTTTACCAGCACGCATTGGAGATAATGATCCTCGTTTAGGTGTATCCAGTGCACAAATATTTTCGGGCGAAGATTTGTGCAGTGAAGAGCGTCGAAAAGTTCAGCGCGAACAACAGCGAGCTTGGTTGGATCAGCAAATACAAGAACGCAAAGTAGCTGAATTTGAACGTAGAAAAGCTGAAAATGAGTTTGATAAGTCTCTCTTGAATCGAGAGAACTATCTTGATCAAATATCCAAAGAGCAACATAACTCAAAAAATAGAATTTTTCATTCCATTGCGGAATATAACAAATTTTTGTCAGAGAGAAGGAAAAATGCAGCTTTGCAAGCGAAACAAGAAGAATATGAAGATGATTTAGCTGAAATATACAACATGCTTACCAGTGATATGCTCACCGGGAAATACGGTGATAGAGCTGAAGCCCGAGCTCATGGCATGTCAGAGTACCAATTAGCAAAAATCCGTGAAGAACAAAGTCAGCAAAGATACTTGGACAAACAGCGTAAAACGGATATGCAAACTCTTGATAAGCAATGGGAGGAACATGCACTCAATTTGGATCGACAATTGGTCCATCAACAATTTGAGTGTAATCGTAGAAAAAAATCAGGATTAATTAAAAATATGCGCTTCAATGCTGATTTGGCTACAGAAAAAAGAGCCCAAAAGGAGTTTAATAAGGATGCAAATGTGAATGAAATAACCTCGGAATTCTTTGAGCAATTTAATAAAGTGACTCGTTAATAGAGTTCTCTAAAGAAGTCACTGAATATATTGTTAGAGTTTTTGCTTAACGAAAATTTAAATGATTTTCTGTTATAACATTCTAAACATTCTTCCGCATTACTTGTTTCTGTATTTTTTCTTCCAGAGGTAATAATCCTGTATCTCAGAGGCGGAGGATTTTGGTTAGCTTAAAAATAATTTCATTTGTGAAAAGGAGACCCGATTGTTCATTACAAACTATGTATTAGTACTTGATCTTGATACCAATTAGAATTTATCCAATTGAATAATAGATTGCATTTATTTAAAAATAAAGATGGTTAAAAAAATACTTTTTACTTAAATTAATACAAATTTCTTTTATTGCTAAAAAGTGATTTAGACTTCGGTCCTACTGTTACGAACGTGAAGGTTTAACTTTTCGCATCAATGTGTTACTCGTGACAGAACTTTAAAATCTGTCATCTGAAGAAACTCTCCACGCGGACGAAATAATCCAATTATTACAATATGCGAGTTATCTCTTCTCACTGCATATATAACTCCATGAATTCGTAATATAACACCGAGGATGTGACTAGTGTAAGCTTTACTTTTCGAGATTTAATAGTTAACACAAGACATCTTATCAAATACTCAGAGAATAAAAGTGTAGCTGCGATATGAACAGGTGAAATTAGTACGGTGGCTTCAAGAATTTGTTATCCACTTATTCCGAATGGTAATATCATCGAAAGCTATCTACATATCCTGGATTAAAAAATTATGAATACTTAACAAAGTTTAAGAATATGCTCAATAGCGGTTCATGTAGCTGAAAGCTATTAACGAAGTTTAAATCTGCACAAATAATTTATTACGAGGCATGAGCGGAGCACAACACAAACGTAACTGTCACATTCCTTGTTAAAAGATAGTTAATATACGAAATAATAACTTGTCCAACATATAGTTGGACAAGTTATATACGACTCGATTAAAGATTTCACGTAACTCGCTTACCTTTAGTAGTCTAACGTCTTTCCAAGCGATAGACTTGGTAAATTGAAATTTTATAACTAAGTTCATGCTGTCATCCGAAAACAAATGATCAAATATAGAGCTGGATTAAAAATATGTAAAGCAATATATATTATATCAATGCTAAGAACAGGAAGCTGATATATAACCGAATTCGTCCGTCACTTCTATATGGTTGTGTAGCGTTTAGCAAAGCTTCAAACACTACTATTCACCAGCTAGAAATTGCACAAAGCCAGGCTCTGAGAAGACTTTTCAAAGTTCTATGGTACATAAGGACGAATGACATCCTCAGGGACATCAAGATTGATCCCATCAAAAAATACATAAAGGATAGAGCCCTGAAATTATTTGCGAAATCTGACAGACTTACCAATATCGCGTTATCAAATGTCAGAATGGTTACGGGAACCTCGGGGAGATATGCAGATCTGAGGTCAATTATTGCTTAGTCTAATGAAGTGATAAAGAATAATCTAGTCAAGGCGCAAAGAGGGATTTTGAAGAAACCTCGTAGTTAATAGAGAGTAACAGTGCTCAGGTGCACTGACTCAACTAGCCTCAACATAATAATAATATATTATAATACAGCGAAATTTTAATTTCTAAAAAATTTTTTATTATTATTTAATTTTACAATTTTTAAAGTCTCCGTTTTGAATTATGTAATTGTTTTGCTTTAGCGTCTTTTAATTTTTTTTTTTTGTTAAATTATTTTCTTTTTTAATTTTATAGCATCTTAAACTTTACCTAGGCATAGAATATATGCACCCACTATTCCCATTCCATTTTTCGCTATTCTGTTAATTTTGTAAACTGCAGGGAAATATTACTTTATACTTTTAAAAATATATTAATTAAGTTTATTTTTATATTTTTTTTTATCGTTTTTATAATTAAATTATAGTTTTAACGTTTAAGGTGTTAATATTTAGTATTAAAGATTTTTTAATAATTAAATCAAATATCTAACGTATATTTTGTTAATGGTTATTAAGTTTTGTCAAATATGTTTGTTTTTTTTCACAGATATTACTTCTTAAATTGCTGTTCTTAAATAGTAAATTTGAGTAAAATATTTTTAAAAATGTGAAAAATTCTTGTAATTTTTATGGTTACGGAGACTGACAAAGATATAAACATTTACACAAAATATAAACAAGGAGTAAAATAAATAGAATAAAAAAGCGTATTAAAAATTCAACAAATTCAGTTATCGAATTGGATTGACGTACTATCCTGTTTGTATGTATATGTAACTGCATTAAAGTTACATTTTAAATTAATTTAAACAAATTAAAAATATAATTATATATAAACAAAAAATATTTTTAGACTAAGTGTTGTATTTTTCATTGAGTGTCTCTGTACTTTTACTTATACATCAGCGATGAAATCATTTTACGAATATTTGCACTATCAGCTAAAACAGGATTGCCAGTTGTTTCCTCTTCCATACTGGTATCATCTAAATCGGATGCATAATAAGTCTTAACAATTGTATCAAAATCCTCTTCTGACAATTCAACAGGTGCTATAGTAGAAACTTGCTTATACCTGAATATAAAAAGAGAATATCGGTAAGTTTTTAAATAATAATGATTTATTGTTATACTTACTTGGCAGACTTGTATTTTTCTTGTATAGCTTGTTGTGATAAAGTTGCAGCAGCTTTGTGAGATTTACACAAATTCAATATAATTTCTTTCAAATCAACTAAGCTATATTTTGTCACAACTTCTAATTCACTAGACCACATAGGGTAGTCTAAAATATATCTTGCCAAGCCCAACGATGCCGCAGATACTTGAGAAGGGTAATACTTCAAGTAAGGATCAGCTTCCAAAAGTGATAATTCACAAATATACTGAAAAATAAAAGCAAATAAATTAGTTTTGAATATATATATTCTTTTAAAATTCCTATAATTAAATATACAAGATTAATAATAATATTAAATTATATATTTAATATTCTAATATTTAAGTATACAAGATGAACTATAATATTAAATTATAATAACAATAAGTACAAACAATATTAATAATTATAATAATAATAGCTATATAATAATAATAGATACAATAAATATAATAATATATAATAATAATAGATATAATAAATATAATAATAAAAATAAATATAATAAAAATTAATAGATATAATAAATATAATAATAAAAATAAATATAATAAAAATAAATATAATAAAAATAAATATAATAAAAATAAATATAATAAAAATTAATACACTAATAATAAAATAGTAATAATTAATATAGTAATCATAAATATAATAATAACAATTATATTAAAAACAAATATAATAATTAATATAATAATAACAAATAATGATCATAATAATATTAAATACACTCATGGAAATCAAAACTTATTCACGGAACGTAGGTACATGATACACAGGATTTACTCTGCTCTGAAACTATTAAATTTGTTCTGAAAGAATTTGAATTTTTTGCATACTAATTATATAGAATGCTTCTTCCCATGTTTGACTATACGCATAGTCGTAACAATATCAAGAAATGAATACTCCAACGATTGGTACTTAAATCTCCTTCTTACATATCTCCTATCCATCCTATTACAAATATTAACCAGAGCCTTTTTTGTCCCAAAATACTTCACTGTGACAAAACTATTATTACAGATTAGCACATAAAAGCTAAGTTTAATAACAACACGTTTCAGAAGAAAGGACAGAGATGTGTGATATATCAGCAATATTTAATTAAAAACTATAGACAATAAACGCCACAGCTTCCTAATGTTGAGCTTCAGAACAAGAATTAAAAGTGATTAGAAATAATTCAGCAGTACGCATTACGATTGTCATTACTACTAACGGAATTGTACTTAGGTACAATTGTTGAAACATCTAATAAACTAATTTAGAAATCTTTAAAGTTAGACATCAATGAAAAATACAAAGTGCATATGCAGAGAAATATTTAGTTGAACGTGGTAAGAAGTTTAACAAGCCTGGATCTTATTCAGTGCAATTATAAATTAATTTAATTAATTTTCATCTTTAACTTAAAATAGTTCTATTATAGAGAGCACAATAATCATTAAATAACAAACCAATGCACTTTAATATGGAAGGATCCTTGTTATTAGGTGCTTCAATATGAATATTGAATGTAATGAATGATTATGGAGTGGAATAGGTGAGTGGGATTTAATAGAACATTACCAGAACAACATGGGTCCAGACGTAGAAACCTGGCCACATCATTGGAGTGAATCCAAAGGTCTATTGGACGGAGATTTGTGTGCATTATATGACAGGAGAACAGATGAGCGAAGGCATGGGGAGTAGAGCTGCAACTCCCCCAAAAGGGACTTTACAAACTTGTATGTGTCAGAAAGTTCTGTGAAAGTCTACGAGGATATTTTGTTTACATTTCAATTGTAAGCAGATGATGTTTAGTTTTATACGGTTAGCAGAATTTAATTAGTTCATCACGCAATTTCATCGTATTTAATGTATATAAACTCAATTGTAAATTATTATATATCAATTATTTATTTTATTTATAAAGAACAGTTTCAAAAATGTTACCTCTTGGTTGTTTGTTTTTTCTTAATATACATTTTCTATCAAAACTCGATCATTTTCCTTTTGGTAAATATATTTTTGGTCTAATTTCCTTTGATTTGTTATTAGCTAAGTCAAAAGCATTACCGGCTTTAAGCAAATAAAGTAGTGTAACAAAGGCAGTGGAAAAATTCTATACACTTACTATATAAACAGGTATCACTAGATAAACACAACAATCGCTTCATAAATTTATAACTAAAAATGAGCAAAAGTGCTAGCCAACAGCAACAAAAATTTTGAAAATAAAATAAGGTCAACAAAACCACAACCCACAACTAAACTAAATTATTTTGTCGTTATACTTAAAAACTTCTGTAATACATCTCTAAAATAATTTTTAATTTAAACAAATAAATATTTATAATATATCATTTTGAACTCACCTTTGCTAGCATATTAACCTGTTCTGTAGTCTCATTTAGCACAAAGTAGGTGTTCAAATACACGTTAGTAGTAGGGGTGCACAAGTCGAAAGCTAGGATCTTTAAAATAATTTGTTCCATTCTTAGAACTTGAGCCTTGTTATAAGTGTCATCGGTTATAAATACAAATTCAGAAACATCCGGAGGATAAATTTCCTCATATTTTCTACAAAAACAAAAAAAAAAAAAGATTTATAAATACATAAATAATCATTTCTGAGGTCTTATAATTTAAACTGATAAAATCTGTTATGAATAAATATAGTCCAGACTTAAATTGCGAGCGAAGAAGAAAAAATTAAGTAATTTATCAATTTAATCCGAAACATTGAAGAACTTATACATACATTTAGTGTCTTATAACCGATTTATAGGATTTGTTATTAGTTTATTAATTTAAACATATTTTAACATTGTTTTCATCCTCCTGCCTATTTACTGACATAAGGTAGATCAAATAATCATTAAAAACATTTATCTAGTCATTAAGAAATATCCTGACAGACGACATTAACATTCGAATAAATAGAAATAAAAAAAATAGCAGCTATAGCACTTTCTTGTGTTTATAGCTCTTTTCTGAACTTTAAAATTAAATAAAATTAATTATTTCAATTTTAATTTAGTGTTTAGTGGCATATTACCAGTACTCGAAACTTTAATGAGCATCACAAATCGTGGTTAATTTTAATCATTTAAACTAATTATAATTTAAATCTGTTAAATAAGCAAATAAATAATCATTAACCCATTTAATGATCATCTATATACTGCCGTCTGCCAGTGCTATTAGTAAGGATTTTTAGCAAAGATTGTGGTACTTACGCAGCGATGTACATAGCAGCAGTGCCAACCAATTGCAATTTGCTGCGTACAACTGACATTTGCGACAGAAATCTATCTATGTACGAAACAGATAAGTACAATGTCTCAGTGTCCAAATTGTACTCTTCAGAGACCTCCACAAGCCAATCAACTAAAATTGTGCGCATTGAATGATTGATATCGGTTTGACGCTTCATGTAGTGCGGCTTAGCACGATGTTTAAGCTAAAAAAAAAAGGTATATTTATATTAAAAAAATTTAATTTAATTATATATTATATACATTATATACACGAAATGATATTAATAAAACAAAAAAAATTTAATTCGTAATAATTCAGTAATTTGGATCCCATTGATCTTTGATCCCGCCGCATTAAAGTGACTAGGTTTTTTCACATTGATCCTGGTTGACTTCAATTTAAATTCCACCATCCAAAATTCATTCTTACTTCTAAATAATCCCCTCCCCTCTCACATTATCAAGATCCTAAACTGTGTATACGTTATCAACTGCTCAATTGATCCTTGTGGGATACAACAAGAACTGTGATGTTCTAAAAGTGGACTTACGGCCCTCTACACAGATGTAGTATCAAGGTTGTTGTCCCCCCGTGCAGTACGAACTGTCCTAGTTCAATTGAGATCAGTATATAACCGAGTGCTAAACAGTTACTTGTGACGCATAAACACGTCCATACACAATATGTGCCCTAACTGCAGCACTTCTCCCCATGATGTACGTCGTTCATCTGTTCACCTGTCCTTCTGCACACACTAATCTTCGTCAAATTAACCTTTGGACTCACCCGATTAAAATGAGCAGGTTTCTCCACTTAGATCCGATATAATATTCAATATAAACCTCTCACCCAATTCCTCCACATTCTCCTTCCTCTCTCCTAACCACTACCCACTCACTTCTTTACTCTTGTAATCGTCTTGTGTATCCTTTCATGTTATCTGCTTACAGATCCCAGCGGGTTACAACAACATGATCTAAACGGTTTAAAGGTTTAGTGCGCAGCTCAACTTCTGATATCTAATGTTGTTCCTACTTGAAGCGACATGCTACTTAGAGAGGAGCATGCTGAAATTGATATTCTTGAAAGACCAATTCCAGGATGTAGACGCTGTTCTGTTCTGATCCTGAAAGCTTTATACTAACTACTACACTGTATACTTATAGACCCTGTTGCTCCTAACGCCTTACTGCCTTATAGTTTAATTTCAGATTATTCATTATATCAAAAATATAGTTTGTTTAAATAAATCTGAATCTGTGGTGTTCTATGGTATTTTGGAACACCACAAAAAAGACCATCTGCAGATTTTCGGTAATGCATGTAAATTAAAAAAGAGTATTGCACTGCAAAAGGACGAGAAAATATATGCAGTTTTCTTAAACATCAGAAAAAAACACCACCCCTAAATAGCTTAACTTTTTTTTGTAAGATTTAGAAGAAGAAAATAAAGAAAACAAATTGAATAAAACCAAAAAAATTGTCTGACACACAATTGGAGACAACAAAACCAGATAAACATTTGACATTAGCGAAGCCGAACACACAAATTCACACATGTAAAAACGGCATTACACAGCTAAACACATCCACACAAACACATAAATACAGAAACGATGTCACTATAAGAAAATTAGTCATTTTAATTTGTCTGTGTTGTGTGTGTGTGTGTAAAAAAAACATTATTTCGTCTCGTAAGCAAGTAAATGCGTGCAGGATTGCTGAAGGCAAAGTGAAAAGGGTAGAAAAACAATTTCCAGCTGCTCAATAAAGATAAACATGTGACGCGTATTCCGAAGTAAAATTTTGTGAATGCACTCGTGTATTTGTTGTGTTGTTGTTGTTGCTATTAATAGTTAAGGTAGTTGCACACCGGGTAGTAGGGTGCTAAAGTGGAATAAGTAACATTTTGAGATATGCTTATATGAAGGCACTTCATTACAAAAAAATGTAAACAGAACAATTTGGACTAAAGACAAAAAAAAAAAAAAGAAGAAAGAAGAAATGTATGTATTGGAGGGGCAGCATTAAGGTTTGATTACCTTGCGACAAAACGAGAGCAAAACAAAATCTTGCGCAATTTTTTCCCTGTTGGGTGATGAGAAAAACAATTGAAAATTTTACTCCGCACAGACATTGCACATGCGCGCCAAATTCTTTGGTTGGCTTAAGTTAGTCAGGAAAAAAAAATTGCGCCAAAATGACTTATGCAAAACCAAATGGGCAATATGTACTTTCGCCGTGCAACCTTAAAATCTGAAATCAGGTTTTTAATGTAAGAACAAAAAGATATGAAGTTTGAAGATCGAACGTCAATAAATTAAAATAAATAAAATCAAATTATATTAATATAGAAATAATAAATGTACAAATTTTGTTAGTTTATTTTTACATATAACCATGAAAGTTGTATACTATCCTAACTAATAACTAAACTAATTAATCAATCAATCTTAAGTACGATATTTTATCTTAAATTTCATACGATATTTTAAATCGTATTCTGTACGAAAAAAGTAAATTTTTTATATAAATCTTATTCACATTATAATTATGTTTTATTCCCTGAAGATGACTATCGAAGGTAGTCGAAATATTGGAAAAATATTTTAATAAAATATAAATTGTTTTATTAAATATAAATAATAAATTTGTTTTTTTTTTTATTTCTATTTAAATAACCAATTAGCTCGCTAATAAATTTTAACATTATAATTAGGATTAAAATTTTGTGTTAATTAACCTATTATGTATTATGTTACTAAATGTAACATAATACTATGTCACATTTAACATAGTATTATGTTAAATACTATTATTAATATTATTATACTATTAATAATATTAATTAATACTATTATTAGAGTAGGGGGATTTTAAACACCGACCGATGCGTAAAATATTGTATTTTATAAGTTTTATATATAAATAAGTTATAATATAAGTTTATATAAGTTTTTCGTTATAAGAAAATATGTGTTTATATTCAAAACGCATTAAATATTTGTACTGTCGACAGCAAGTTTTAGTTTGAGAAACAGTGATTTTGTTTATACTGCGAGACTATTTCAAACCTAATCAGAAAATTTCTTCAACGAAGTCAAAACTTTCTGTTACAGTACACTTATACGGCAACATAACAATAAGAACAAGCAATAATATCTCCAAATGAAAGTACAGACAGTTATAACAGCAAGCCCATATTTAACCTAGCCTAATACAATTGAATTATACGACTAGTAAAAATCCTTAAACTGACAAATTTCAATCATTTAAGAGGGGGTTTTCATTACAATAAGAATAAGTAATAAAGTCTCCAAATGGATTATACATCTAGTAAAAATCCTTAAATTGACAATATTTGTACATTTAAGAGGGTATTTTCAAAGGTTACGCTATTAGAAACATTGCCCACTTAATCGTAGTATCTATTATGACAGTTTTTACCGTACTGTCTTTGTCTTAGGATATATTTCTTTTATAGGTGCTATGTAACGTTTAGTAAAAATGTATATTTTGTTTTTAATTATGCTTTATTACCTCACTTTCACGAAAATATTCCAGGATATCCAATTGGTACTCCGGAATGTCATAGAAACGTTCGCGATCATTACGTAGCTTTTGCTTTGATTGATTAACAATTTCCTTTGAATTGTTATCGTCGATACTATTTTGAAGAATCATAGAATTATCAACCGACATTGGAGACAAAACTTCGGATACGGACATTGGTGTTGTATTCAAAACATAATCATATTCATCTCCAGCACCAAATTCCTTGTGAATAGCAGCGGCACTACATTTAATATATTTATTAAATTAGCACATTAAATATAATTATTATTATAATTATAAAAAATATTTACATTTTTCCTGGCACAGCTTTCTCATGGCGAATATTTTCCTTATCAACAACAATACCACCAACATTAGCTTGTTGCTTAACGTTGACATTGGAACGTATTTGCTTTGGTTGCTCTATATCTTTTGGATCTTCGAAGACCGTAAAGTTCTTAAATTGATCAACCACAGGTACAAAGTTATGCTTTTTACCGGCATCAGCTTCATCCTTCTGCTTTACATTACCAACATCACGAAAAGCCTACATCGAGATGCATTGGAAAAGAAAATTTTATTAAAAAAAAAACAATAATAAAAAGAAAACACATAATTAACAGCATTAAATATGTAATTTGCATTATATTTATGTAATATTTAATATGGGGGAAAAGTCCTGTTACTCTTCACTGAGTTTTGTTTTTGTACGAAACAATAAAAACCACAGAGCGAAGATAAAATTGCATACAAAGGCATGCGGCGCTTAAAGTGGTCATCGCTATGTTTAACGGATTCAAAGCACACGAAGATGTGTGCGAACGTAGTGCACAAGAGAGAAGATAAAACTAATTTGAATATAATTAGGAAAACAAATTGAAAGTCATATTGCTTGCCTTTTATTGTGCTTTTCAAGTTTTTGTATATGAAGCATTTTTCATGCTTGAATTGCTGTTAAAAAATATATTGAATACATATTAATATTTGTAATATTACTCACAACTTTAGTGCCGCCACCAATGCGTAAATTTACATTGCTTTTACCAAGTCCAAGACCAGTTGCTCCCTTTTCTTTAAATGGACCTTGTGGATTTTCTTTTCCGTCGTGATATATCTCAAAGTTTGCCATAGTTTATAAATTTATTTAATATTTGGTTGGTTATAATTTTTATTTATATTTTTCAAAACGCACGCTCTATTCTAAAAATTTTATAAAATCATTTAACAAGAGTTGAAATAAATATTGACAGAAATATATTATTTCTTAAAATTGTATTATTCAATTTTTGTTAAAAAATAAAAATATTTTTATTGGTTTAAAATGGAGGTTTAGAGTTTGCATCAATTTTCCTTTTCTATACTTCGGCTTGTTTCGTTTATGATAATGTGCTGTTGTTGTTGTTGCTGTCGCTGCTTAAGGTATCCTAAGTCACACACACATCTACACAAACTATTATATTCCTATTTAGTCATATTTTAATTTAATATAATTTATGATTAATCATATCAAGTTATTACAATATCACTTTAATATTATTATCAAAAATAATATACACTACGGCGTTAATTCCATACGAACTCGAATCAGAGATTTTTGTGCGCGACTAAACTATGTGTTAAACGCTTGCTGTCGTGATCGGAATTGATGCCAATTTATTTTAAATTTCAGCGCCTCAGCAGCGTTCGTATGTGCGTGAAAAGGATAGAATGATTTGTAGAAGTTGACGGATTCGCCGCATGTGTACAAATATTTCAGAGTTGAAATTACTTGTATAATTGAAGGCAAATGAAAAAACATAGAAAAATTTTTTCACATATAATTTTGTTTTGAAATGACTTCTACAGTTGTTGGAATAATAACTTCATTTCAATACAATAACGAACTTTTTAATTCATTTAATACAGTTGCATAAACAGTAAATGATATTTACCAGAATTTCGAGTAGTGTAATTTAGATAAAAATTAGGTAAATTACCATTGTGTTAGCATTGCGAAGATTTTTTAAGATGTTTAATAAATAAATTTGGAAACTTAATAAATAAGTGCAATAAATAAATAAATATTTGGATAAGTGCAGTGCAAAAAATCGCTAGGAAATTTTAATTTATTTTACCTCAATTTACTCGAACTCACACACAGCCTTAATCCAGTTGCACATAAATTGCACAAAACAAGAATCAGTTGTTGTTTGAACTAACAACAAAAATTTAATAATACATAAAAGTTTGTCGAGATATAAAACTTGCCTGCTTACCTCTTATGTAGCATAGGGTTACACTGTAAAAAAATGTGTTGACATTCACAATATTGTTTACTCTGTTAACGCTTCCTTATTGATGTAAAGTGCATTGTGAGATTGAGGAGGTTAGATTTACAACATGTCATAGAATTTTTGAATTGGATTTAAAATAGAGAATTTTTTTAAGAATAATTTATTATGGAACTGTGAAAAATAGATGACACGAATTACGAATTGTGCACGAATTCGTTGACAACTAATACAAAAAATTGTTGCAGTTTTTTAAAATTTTTTAAGTAACATAATGCAAAATAGTTACACATTGGATGTAGACATGAAAAATATGTGTTACCCATTCTTAACTTTGGCTTTGGTTTATGTTTTTTAGGAGATCCCACTAAAAATCATTTTTCAGAAATGAAGCGTAATAAAAATAAAGTTTTTATGTCCTTAATATATAAAAGAGATATATTAATATCTTTAATATATTATGTAAATTCTGAGAATATTTTAACCATTAAAATTATACGTTTTGGTGAATTGCACATAATTATTCTGTTATAACTCGGTTTCGATCAGTATATTTGTAACAAATAAGCTTAATGTCCAATAGAAGAAAACGTACGGGGCAAGAATATATTGAGTTTATACTATTTCAATAATTCTTTAATTTACAATAACCATAACTACTAATTAAATAATATTAAGTAGGACTCCAAAAAATAAATTTACTAGTTTTCATTAATTGCTTGTTTATTTTAAATATCACATAACGCATTAAAAAACTTGTTTTTAGATGAGTTAAGTTCAGGTTTCAATTAAACTTTACGTAATAATATTATATGTTGTTGATTTTCGGGGCAGATGATGCCGTGAAACAGTTTTATACACGATTGAAATCTAAAAAAATAAATTTGGAATTGATGCCAGTTAGCGGAATTAACGTTTCACAATGTTGCTCATTATCTTTCATGTAAATATATTTTTCATTTACTATCTGATACTTATGTCGGCAACATTGATTTAACTGAGATCAAATCGTACAAAACTATATTTTTAAAAATTAATATTAATAAGAAGCAGAAGAAGAAGAAGAATAAGAATAACATGTAAATTTTCAGGTTCAATATTTGTTCTATTGAATGAAAAGTCTAAACTATTCAAGTCACGAACATGTATTTGAAATACTACTTCATATATCCTTAAATTATTACTGTAGATATTACTGGACCTCATATAATAATAAGTAACATATTAGTACGAACACATAAAAGTTTTTATATCAATATGGTAAGCTCTTCTAGAATCATAAAAAATTCATGCTGGCAGCAATGTATTCTAATGCTTTTCGCCGCATTTTATCTTGTGATATGGAGCGAGCTTATGTTTTTTTCTCTCTCTAGGTGTACTGCTCAATTTGTGGCAACAACGAAGTCATATTCTGGCAACAACAAAAACTAGCGAAACGATAAGCGGAAAAAAAAATTTTTACTCTAAGTTACTCATAGATCGCTACAAAATCTTACATATGATTTTATGAATGATAATATTCATATGATTGATAACATTAACTACACAAAAAATTACTATTAAAATTGTCTTTTATTTATTATTTTATATATAATAATTAATCATTCATGTTAATATAATACATATCAATTTTAATACATAGTAAAATATATTTTAAAACAAAACTGCTGATTATTGTAAGTTCTTTTAAAATAAATTTAATTTTTCTTTCTCTACAGTGAACTCTCCACAAACAAATTTGTGTTGTTTGTAGAACTTTTATATTCAGTGAATAACAACAGTCGGCAAGTCCTGCAAGTTAATATTGTTGTTGTTTCTGTCTCCGTGTTGTTGAATATACTTCTCAGTAGAAAACGGATCGATCCGTCATCGAAGACGTATTTAAGACATACATACATGAATATTGATCGATGCAAATGTATGATGGTTTTCGAAGACAATTTTATACAAATTAGGCAAATGTCTTCAATGAATTCTTGCGTACATGTCTCGAAGACAGTCTTGAAGACCATGTTTTGAGCAATTGTTTTGCAAATTTGCTTGAATATGTGGACTCAGTATCAAAGACCGTCTTGAAGACAATGTCTTCGTAGACCACTTTTTCTATTGGTTTACTATATTATGGCAATATTGGTGTTTTAAGAAATATTGAATTTTTTTAATACAATTTGTTCTAAAAGATAATATTTTAATTATAATATATAGGGTGTTTTTTAAGGTGCATTGGAACTATTGATATTGATAACTATGGTTTGACAGCTGGAAATGTCAAACTGTATTGACATTAATGTTCAGTAAGGTATGAAATTCAACAAGAATCATTTAATGCTAGAAAAACGCTTTCAAATTGTGGGAATTTACTTTGAAAAAAATAAATCTCTTCGCGAAGTTTATATAGCACTTCGTCCAATTTACGGGCAACATAATTGTTATTGATCATTTTCGCACTCATTCTTCTTGCACTCTTCTCGATTTAAAACCATCAAAAAGATATAAATATAACCCAAATTTTTTTATAGAATATGAACACAATAAAGGCAAAGGGTCAAGGGGGTAGATACCCTTAGTCCCTGACATATATTGAATTATAATAAAAAAATTTTTTAATTCTGCCAAATTTTTGCGTTTATATTTTAGTCACGATATTAACTAAAAATTTTAAAATTTGATTTTAGAAGCATTGGAGAGATGTTAACTTTTAATATTGACTATAGGAAAAGAAATGATGTTGGAATAGTATCCAGCTTTTTGCTGGCTTTTTTGAGGCGCATGGTTTTGTTAAATTTTTTTATATGAGTTGGTACTGTAAGCGGAATAAACGCTGCTCCATTAGTAGTGACAATCTGTGGTTAATGATTGTATTCTGTGTCGGTGGTTTATAATTGTAGTTTGAGTGGAAGAGATACATATGTATTTCAAATGCAAATAGCAATTAGAAAGAAAGCATGTATGCAAAATATTCAAAATATTAGACGTCACGATCAAAGAAGATATATGTACTTTCATTGTATACATGGCATTATTATTGTTAGGCCATCTGCTGTCAAATGCTTAAGCAATTGAGCGAGGGCCATAAATTTTAGATTTTCTTTTAACTTTGTGTTAAATAATTATCTTAAAAATAATATCAATAACAATATTTATTACTCGCTATATATATATTTGTATATGCTACATACAAATAGATGTGTATATAAATAAAAATGCTACTGACTTTTATTACACCGCTGCTAAAACATTACTATACTAGCTTCTCAACGTTAGAGTTGACCTATAAAGCGCAAAATCAGTTAATTAATTAGGTTAACTTATTACCAAAGACAGTTGGTATATTCTCAATTTGTCAATAAACTACGAATGCTATGTGTTATCTAACTGCTGTACGAAGAACCTTTACGATCCGATCCGATCCAACTGTAAAGCGGACTTCTATCCTATTTATAGATCTTTTTTGGACAAATAAATTTCCCAGCCGAATCAATTTCAACACTGATTTTCTTTAATTTAAATGGTGCAAGGTGCGATTTGAACTTCCGGATATGTCGATTTGACAACGGGATTTTAAAAAGTCAGCTAACTCAATAAAGTCAGAGCAATTTTTTTTATTACATTACATGCCAATAAAGCTCATGTTTCGAGATATCGAAGCTTAAAATTATAAATTTTTTATGTCGTTTATACAAACAACCACACACACGCTATTTGTACTGAATATCCACTTGAGTACAAATAATGGTCTGCTGTTATATGGTTCAATATCTCAAAAACTATACTATTTTCAAAAATTGCTAACAAAAACAGTTGCTCAAAGTAGACATCTTTATAAAAAATCGTTGTGCAAATAGACGTATCTAGGAAATCGGAATTGTGCTTGTTCCAGTGTTAATAGACTTCACTTTTAACTAAGCTTCTTTAACACGATCAGTTTGGGTAGATACAGAATTACCACAGATAGAACACATTTTATTCATTTATCCTATGAAAGAGTAACGGTAAAGTCTTAGACGCATTATAATTTAAAAACAATTCCAAGTTAAGCTTTCAATGGGCCCATTGGGTACATTCATTTGCAAAATTTGTAATTTGCGAGAATATTTACATACATATTTTACAATACATAAAGTTTATGCTATGTAACCAAAGGAATGTAAGACAAATTTTACCCTTTAGTAAGAGTAAAAAAGATAAGTAAAATTATGCGAATACATTACAGGCAGAATAAAAAAGGATGAATAATGCACAGGAATTTATCAAAGGAAGAAATATTGTTGCCCTGAGGCTGCAGCAAGTGCAGCGCATTTGTTATATACGAAGCGCCCCTGTCACGCCTTATAGAAAACCAAATGACACCATTTTTTCATATTATCCTTTTCTGCTGGAAAACGGTTAACAAGACGCA